CGAGAGGACTCTAGCCGCCGCGCATATAAAGGATTTAGAGTGAAAAACTTTGTTTTTACGGGTTAATTTTTTTTCTTCCAACAGTAGGGTCAAAGATTGGAAGAGGGGGATTAAAGGTGGGAGGAAGGACGGGGGTGCGAGATGGTGGGGTGGGGAGATAACCAAATAAAGAACAAGGAAATAAAAATCACGATTCCTGGTTCTGCCTTTTTCCTTCCTTGGAACAAGTCACTCAGAATGTGATAGTGTGGTTTATATGGCCCAGTTCTCTCTAGCTCCTTGCTCACTGAGAATACTCTTTACTCCTTCCAGTCAGGTATTTCATATTACATGGGTTTCTCAAGGAATGGGGTCTATATCGCCTATTATCCTTCTTTTCCCTTCAGATTATAGCTAAGGGGCTCCATTGCTGCCAAGGTGTATAGAAATCTGTACCAAGGTCTCCAGGTTCATGGTCTTTCTAGTTTCCCATGATTGTTTTCCATGCCATGGTGTAAAATGCTTGAATATATGCTGGTTGCCATTTGGTGACCCCCTTAGGTTTAAACTGGACCCGCCTGTGCCACAGATCAAGCTAAAGTCGTTGGTAATGTTTTGGTAGAACTCGGTGACATCTGGGCATAGCCAGAAAAAACCTTGTATATAATGTTGTTTAAAAATATTAAATAATTAGAATGAGATGTTAAATGTGTGAATGAGCAAATCACTCGGACTTGTAATGCGCCCGACCTGGTCGAACTTTGAAAGCCAAGCACCTCTGAGCTTGGACAGGTGCCTGGAAACTGCCCACCATGCACAAATAGGTTGTCATTGGGCTGCGGGGCGACGTGGTGTTTATATGCAGTTGTACTGTACTTCCATTCCAATCCACATGGACCAGCCGGGGTGTAGTATGGTCGAACGGCCTCCACAACCAGCCCTCATCCAGCAGTGGATTGACAAAAAAAGTCTAGATGCTCCTACGGGCATTGTGCGGCGTTCATCTCCACCAGTGGAAATTCCACATTGCCATGGCAGGGACCATTTTACACGCTTTCATTTAACTCACTCTGTTGTTGTATTCTCAAATCTTGTAACTCTATTTTAACCCACTTCCAAATGTGGTATCGACTTCAAAATTGGTATACTTATGTCATACTGATAACAATACTATATTCTATCATAAAAATATATATTTTTAAACAATCTTTTTTTATTTTTTTATTTAAAGCTGTCGCGATTGCAGAGATTCATATTCTTGGTTCTTTCAGTAAAGTCACGTAGAAGGTAAACAATAAAGTAATAATAAAATAATAATATTTTATTGTTTTATATTTTTTTATTTTATTGTTTCCCTTCTACGTGACTTTATCGAAAGAACCTAAGAATATGCATCTTTTTATGTTTTGTTTTGGCTTGGGTCTAATTGTCCACGGTAAACTGACGTTGGTTGTAATTGGCCACGGTCCCTTACGTTATGGCAAGCTTCGTGGCCACTTCCTGGAGTCGTGAAGTTCTGCCATTACTAGTACATTTCATAAAAGTGTGTTTTTAAAATAGTTGCTTTTTAAATTACTTATTTAACAACCGCTGACGACTTGGCACAGAGTGGTACCTATATTATGACCTGTAAAGATGACAATGATGTCTTGCTTATGTCAACCCTTGACCCTACAAAAATGAAAGCATGTGAATTGCTATAGCTATGGTACTAATTATTACAGTATAATAATAATTATCCTGTAATTATTGGTCCCGCACGAAGAAATAGGCAACCACAGCGTTATGATGAGCGGCTAATAAGCGCGTCTTTCGTTGGTTATAGGCTGCCTAGCAACAACCGTTCTGATTGGACGAGACGTTTTATGCGTAGCTGGGCACGATCATTCGTGATTATTAAACACGAATCGGGCCATAATCGGTGGGACCTGGACCGTTTTTTAAAAGTAATCTTGAATTGTCACGCGATACGAATCTATGTAGAAATTTTAAGCTCGTTAGGCTTTGTAGATTCTAAGATATTAGGCGTCAAAGATTTGAAAGAATATAAACAGCAAGGCAAGTTGAATCAAAGTGTGTATAAAATAAAGTTCACGGGAGAAGAGGGAAGAGCTCGTAAGAGGAATAGATAAATATAAAGAAGGAAAGAGAGGGCGTGGACGGATGGCTGTGAGGTAGGCGGCGAAAGCTGCAGACAACGTGGCCCCATTCCCGCAGCCGTGCCCTGGAACCACCACAACACGGAACGTGTCACGTTATAACACTTAACGTGTCCCGTTATAAACACAGAATGCGTCCCGTTGTAACACGGAATGTGTCCCGTTATAACACTTAACGTGTCTCATAATATGAAACGCCCGTTATAACATGGAACGTTCATCATTTTAATGCGCACTGATATAACATGCACAACGCAAAAAGTTCCGTTATAATGCGGAATGCACACAACGCAGAATGCGCATTGTTATATAACGTGGAACGCGCCCGCCATAACGCTTAATACACTTGTCATAATGCTGAACGCGGCCATCATAACGCTTAACACACCCATAATAACGTGGAACACGCCCATCATAATTCGGAACACGCCCATCATAACTCGGAACACGGCCATGATAACGCAGAACACGCCCATCATAACGCGGAGCACGCCCATCATAACGCTGATCGCGCCCGTGATCACGTGGATCGTGCCCGTCATAACACGGAATCGCCCGTTATAACCTGGTTTCTGAGCGGTCTAGGATTATCTACTTTCTTGAGCTGCGAGACGGAGTGGATGTGATACAATACGCGGAATGATACAGCAACGCTACATACCCTCAGTTATTTGTCCCGCCATCTCACTGCATGTGCGTAGTACATCGTATCTCGCCAAACTGTATTGTTATGTTATTTATGGGGAATTGTTTTTACTCAACACTTTTTTCGCTTAATGTGGCACTTCTCAGGAATGCATATACCGTTTTAAACGAGGACTTGCTGTACTATTTATTTTTATTTCTTTGTTTTTGCTTTCATCGTTTTGTGTGAGCCAGGTCACTCCTACCTCTGGCCTCTCCCAACTAGTTCAACAACATCAAGGTGAAACCTGGTTAGTTTGATTTGTGACCTATGCAAAGGTCATCAGGGTGGTAACTGATTGGGAAACTGGTCCTATTTCTCCTACCTTGACTAAACTGCACTGACCAGCGTGAAGTATGGCCAAACAACCCACACGACTGAGAAGGCAATGGAGGGCCTTCATAGTGTTCTGAACTGACAAAGCGCTGTAATAATGAATTCTTATTAAGTACGGACAGTTCCAGACTTACGAACGTGTTCCTTTCCTGAGAACCATTCGTAAGTATAAAGGTGCGTAAATTGGAAGACAATAATGCACTTTATTTAAATGCCCAGACGGTCACTGTTATAAAATGTTTTACGGTTCAACAAAAAATGAAACATTGTTAAACTCATAAATAAGAAATTGTACATTTGCATGTAATGTGACAAATATTGCAGAGTAAAACAAACATTAAATAAAGTAACATTAAATGAACAAAAACATTGACTTAAAACTTTCGTGTCTGCAGGAATTCATATTCTTTGGTTCTCTCGGTAAAGTAACGTAGATAGAAGAAGAAGAATAATAAAAATAAAAATAATAAAAAACAAAAATACTATTGTAGACTGTAGCCTGGGTTTTAAGCTTGGTGAGCCGATTGGCAGTCACTGGAGCTACACACTTTTAAATCATCTAGATTGACAAACTCATTTCTTTATAACTTCTTTTTGTGTTTAGTTTGTCCTGCACCTACAATTAGCACAGTTGGCTACATACATTGCGAAAGACCTTCAAAATACATACATACGAGAATATGAATTTAAAATATATTATCTATGTGCTATGAATGAGGGACATTGCCTGAAATATCATCTATTGCATATATATTTTGTTCCTATCAAGGCTACGGTGTTATTGATACATTTTCTTGAGTTTTTATATTTACACTTGTTGTATGCAGTATCACCAGAATCACATGTTTAGTTTCTTAAGAGCTGCCTTCCTTAACTGGCGCGTGCTCTCTCGTCCGCACGTTCCTCTGTCTCATTGACATTTGAATTACAGCGCCTCTAGACGCTCTGTGCATGGTGACACTTTTCCCATGTTTTTGTCAATGTCTATATTTGTTAATCCATGTCATTGTGAGTTGTATACACTGATTAATAATATTCTTCTTCTTTCAGCACATACCCAGTGAACATGGAACAGTTCCAATCCCATGCCAACGTTGGGCAAACGTTGGCATTTTTACAGCAGAGTTTGTTTTAATTACTAAGCTCAGTTGACCAAACAAGGATATTTTATTTCATAGATTTTCTCCTGGTCACATTCAATAACTGGGTTTACAAAGTCACTGCATTCTCCAGCTGTGTTCTCTCTCACAGCTCTCTTCAATTGTTCAGCGATCTCGTCTTTGGGTGACCTCTGTGTCTCGGTCATTTCTATCTTGAGCCGAACTCCGTTGCTGTGTGCCGAGGAAGACGACAGCACATTCCTGCATTGTGCGGACACGCGACACTCCTGTTGAAACAAGAACACTGCTGTTATACACAACGCACCCTAAAACAATGTCTTCGAATGTACATACAAAATGTGTGTACATACGAAATGAAAACCACAATAGGAGTCAATTTAGTATTACAATGGGAAACACAGTAAACTTTGCTTATTCCCTCCGCAAGTTAATTAAAGTTAACAAAATTGACGTGGTACACAATGCATGAACTGTCAGTCATATGTGGTCGGTTAATCTTCACGGCAAAACCCCCCAGAAACCAAACGGGCAGATGGAAACACGTCAAGAATGAATGCATCCATTGTTCCAGATTGTTACAGAATATTGACTGAGAGCTCAGTGTGACAGAGGGGTATTCTTCGACTATAGACACGCCCTTAAGGCACCGTGAAGCGCCGAGTATATAAACTTACGGGACTCCAAGCCCTGACAGGTCACCTCCTTGCGAGCCACATCTTGTTGCCTCTTCAGTGCTCCCGTGAAGGTTCACGTAAAGGTTCATGTCAAGGTACGTCGTCGCCAAATTGTGTTGAAACCGTCACCAGATTGGTGCCATAGGCTTTCAGGATCGACTTTCATGACTCGTGACGAGTGTCCTTTGGACTCGATCTTCGTGTAGGTTTAATGCCAAATTTCAACTAAAATTATCAGGCATGAATATTATCAGGCATGAACATTATTTCCTGCAGTTGCAGTGTAACGGTTGTTGTGGCGATGACGTGATCAGCAAATGTGAGATGGTTAAAATTTTACTCCGTTGATGTTTACGCCTTTAACTCGCAAACCCAATTTTCAGAAAACGTGTGATGAAGTTGCGAATAGGTTAGAGATAAATTAAGCATCCTTGCGTGACTCCTCCCCCTCCTCCCCCCTGCTCACTCCTCCTACTCCTCCTCACCATTCCTTTTTTTACTGATCAGTCCCAGGTTCACAGATCGTGAGCTCCATTTGGTCATCATTTTTGGATTTTTTTGCTTTTTTTGCAGGTGAGTGTCCGTTACTTTGGACAAAAAATTTAAATGTGCTCATACAGTAAATAGAGTGGTGTGTAACTGACCAGGTCTCTGTTGGCTAGTACTGAGCACACGGGGCCCTCCACCGCCCATTGCTCCAAGGAAGGTACCCGGTGTCCCCGTTGAGATGGGTGTGGCAGAACTCCAGCCACACTCTTGCAGAGAACAGGGCCCTGAAAATGCCCGGGAGATTCGGTTGAGCGGTTCCCACCCACCGACGCCTTTCTTGTCATGTTAATCGCCAGCTTGGTGTAACTCATCAGAGTGTTAACAAGTCCGTCCCGCCGTTTGTCATCTATGCCTCCCCTCTGGCCAAAAGACGAGCATTGTGGGGGAGAACTGCAGGTTGAATCTCAGTAGGATGTTCCACAGGAGCTTGAAAAGTGAGTCGAGAGCTTGCACTGGGTGTACAGGTGCGCGACCGTTTCCACCTGCTCCCCACAGAGAGAGCACTGAGGTTTGGTGTCCGTAAACTTGGCTCGGAAGGCGTTGGTGGTGATGTTGCCGTGGGCTAGGCTCTGACTGAGGTCTCCGTGACTTGTAGGATGGCTTGCAGTAGAAGACCCTCCATAGAGGCTTCTCTTGGACCTCGCAGGACAGGGTCTCCCTCCAGGCGTGGTCCTTGTGGGTCCTAGTTGTGGATCTCAGGAAAAATCAGAACACTGTCAAATAATCACACAAGCATCCCTAAGAATAAACACCTAGACCCCCACCCATACCAACTGAGCCCGAGTACAAAGCAACAGCCAATGTCAAGATTGACTCGTGAAGTATATAATTGTGTCTGTTTCAGCATGTTCTGTATAACAACAAGGTACATTTTGCAGAAAGGTCTATGACTTATTTCGGGGCAGTTAGGGTTTGCTTGGCTGCACTTTTTTTCATGTAACACTGCGGAATTTTTGCTTCCTCTGCACTCGCAGAGCAATACAACGACGGAGGAACTTTCTCGCAAGTGCTGTGTTGTGAGCCCACAAAGCCGTGGACGGATGGGGCTCCTCGGCTTTCTTCCCATTGTGCTCTCCATCCTGCACCTCATTTGTGCCTTGGAATCCATGTCCGTGAATGATGACACGGACTACGGTGGCCTGGTGTTCACGTACACGAGCGACGGTGAGTGGGGGACCCACCACTGAGACATTTTTTTTTCAGAACGCCTCCACGTATTTTGTCGAAGGACGAAAGAAGTCCACTGTCGTAAACGCGACTGGAATTGAACGCAGACGCAATCAGGAGATGTGATGGGTGGTTCAGAGGTCAGGGTGCTGAGCCGACACCCCTGGAAGTGGGGTGTGAGTCTGGGTTAGAGACTCCCAGCGACTAAACTATGTTGATGGGCACAGCCTGGTCAGCAACAGCTGTACAAAGAAGACATCGCATACAACTTGGTTCAGTAATTAAATTGGCGACATTCCTGCTCGGAGAAGTAAAATTACGAGCGGGAGAATTGTGGTGGGAAAGTGCCACCCACACTGTTGACCAAAGGTCAATTGAAGGGATCTCAGTGGTAGCTCTGCAATGTCCACTTTTCCGAGCCGCTGCCTATTACTGAGGCTTGCACTGGGATACAATTTAACACGTAGGCTTTTGCAACCAGTCTTATTCATAATACAGGTTTTTGGGTTAGATCGCGTTATTTATAAATGTGTCGCAACCCTCCACCACCCCACATGGCCCATCAGTAAAAAATGTGTCACGTTGACAAAATACAAATAGTTCACTACTTTAGCCCACCGGTGTGTTGAAGAGTGAATCCACAACATTTACAAACAAAAATTGAGTACGACGTTTCGCTAGTAAGTACATCCAGCATCATCGGGCAATTTGCCAGAATAGTGAAGCCCTCTGCCTGCTCCCGGTCTTGAATAGAGCAGCAGGGTGACGTCATCATTTAATCCATTCAGGTGCAGTGATTTTAGGTGGAGAGGGGCGGTATTGTAATTATATAATAGATTAGTAATCAGTCAATTGTTATGATTAGTAATCAGTTGTAGATTAGTAATTAGTTGTAATGTGGATTATTTAACAACTGCGTTCGTCTTCAGGCTATCATCGCCTTTAGACGAACGCTTGCTTTGCGTTCGAAAAGTCGTGATTTATTTTATTTCTACCTATGTGACTTTACCGAAAGAACCAAAGAGTATGAACCCAATTACTATAACCTGCCATCCAGTTCACCATGGAAATGGAGGTGAATAACACACTCCCGTTCCTAAATATTTTGCTTGGACATGGCCTAAATGGCAAAATAACACAGCGCTTACAGAAAGCAAAAGCACACTAATGCCTATCTGAATGCAGTTTCACATCATCACCCAGCTCAGAAATCCTCTCTTATCATACATCGGGTTAAAACAGTGTCAGATAGCGAAAGTCTAGTGAGAGAGATTAAACATTTTAAAGAAGCGCTACGACAGAATGGCTACAATAATTCTCAAATTAACAGAACACTGAATGCCAAATCACGATTGCAAAGCAACACTGCTCAAAGTGATCAAATTATTAAAATAATTAAAATACCATATATCTCAGGAGTAACTGACAAATTAGCCCGTGTTTTGCAAAAGCAAAACATTAAAGTAAGATTTGGTAAAATACACAAAATAAAAAAACTAGTTTCTTGCACTAAAAACGAATTAACTAAATTATTAACAGAATATGTATATCGGATTAATTGTTTATGTGGCAGATGCTATATTTGGCAGAGGGGACGTAACATCAGCGTAAGACTAAAAGAACACCAAATAAATATTAAATTATCTCAACCACAACTGTTGGCAATGGCAGAACATGCTTGCCAACAAGGCCACACAATTGATTTGATAATGTTGAAGTTTTGTGTAAGACTAATTATTACTTGCCAAAACTAATTAGAGAATCAATTGAAATTGAGAGAAATACAAATAACTTTAATTGCTGTGACAGCTACAGGCTTAGTGCGGCCTGGAAGCGTATTATTAGATAATACATGCTACAATTACAATTCCTTATAGGGGAAACATACTAATTAACTGAATACGAACGTAGTATATAATTACAATAACCATCTCCCTCCCCCCATTCCGACCCCTCTGATTTCTGCACTTGCTGTTGTACTAATCTACAACTGATTACTAATCATAACAATTGACTAATTACTAATCTATCAAATAACTACATCTGAATGAGTCAAATGATGACGTCACCCTGCTGCTCTATTAAGACCTGGAAAATTGCTCGATGATGCTGGATGTAATTACCAGCGACACGTCGTACAATTTTTTTTAAATGTTGTCAATTCACTCTTCAACACACCGGTGGGCTAAAATAGTGAACTATTTGTCTTTTGTCAATATGACACATTTTTACTAATTGGCCGTGTCGGGTGGTGAAGGGTTGCGACACATTTATAAATAATGCGATCTCACCCAAAAACCTTTATTATGGGATAAAATTGGTGAAAAAGACAAAAAATAACAATAGATAGACAACCAAAGACACAAACAGCCTTTGTCCTGTAGCTACACACCTAGACTGTGTCCTGAGCTGTCCTACGCGAGTTTTAAACTTGAAGACAAAAAAGGCTTCAAAGGGATGTTTAGGAGCACTCCAGTGATTTTGAATCTCAAAGTCATTCTTATTTTCCCAAAGTTAATGGTAATCGTGCTGGGTGCGGAGTGCACCAACTACTGTGCCACTGCTCCTCGGAGACCCCTTCATTGGGTATGGCTACTAATCAGGAACGTCAATTGCTGTGCTCCTTATTGCATGAATACTGTCAGGAAACTAAATGAAAAGGGTCCCCGATAATCGGGGACAAAGACATTTTGCAAAAACGGACGATCAGATTCTCGGGGCCCTTGTATGGTGATGTGTGTCATGGTATCTTTATACCAGGGCCACTTTATTGGGAGTATTACAAGATAATTTGTTTAACGTCTCAAGATTTATTTCACAACTCAAGATACCATACACAGACAGTATGACATTCGCATCATGTAGATGGCAACGTGTACAGTTTATGTGTTTGAATATTAGCTGGCTTTAAACAATAAATTAAATAATAGCATACGACGTTTCGATTGCAACACAAGCAATCATCATCAGGTATAAATGAAATAGCAACAAAAAATCTAACCAAAAAACTATATACAGACATATAAGCAGACAGATATCACCAAGATACATAGAGAGAGTAACACAGGTACAGAGAGGGGGATCGTTTCTGTGGGGTGGCCTTAAATAGACAGAGGGGGGCGGAGGCCCCCTCTGATGATTGCTTGTGTTGCAATCGAAACGTCGTATGCTATTATTTAATTCATTATTTTATCTTTATACGTGACTTTACCGAAAGAACCAAAGAATAATTCCTGCAGTCACGAAAGCTCCAAAATTAAGATTGGCTTTAAACACTTTGCTACATAGAGAATTGCAGACCTTGGGTAATTGTGGGTAGCAGCTGGCTCAACTGCCTGCTGCCTTTCCGCTCGTATCTGGTTCCTCAGCAATTGTGATATGCAATGCAAATGAACGACGACGCTATTATTGGTATCATCATCATTATACGAGAGAAGAGGTATTCAAAGGCAGAAGAGAATAGGAAGGTATTGAGCCCCAAGTTGAATAAGGGCAGGAAGATGACAGCACGGGTGGCTGGGGGGAGGGAGTTATATTTTGTGCTGACTGGCAACCTATCTGTCCGTGCTCACAGATGCCAGCGCTGTGCAAGCGGTGATGTTCCACTTCAACTTGAACCACACTGTGACCACGCACTTCCCAACCGTCTACTCCAAAAGAGCCTGGCAAGCCACAGGTATCGCGCGCCACACTAGGAGCCATGTCCTAAACACAGGGTCATTTTCTATGAACGTCTGGTGGTTCAGCAAGCATTGACTCAAGCAAACCTATCTCTGCTGATTAGACAGCGTACGTCTATGCTGGTCCAGTTTTCTGAGTAATGAATCAACGCTGCTGAAATTGTGCACTCCCAGAAAGCCCGTGTGTGGCTGATGAGCTGTGTGAGAAATACGTTAATTTTATGTTTAAAGCTGAGAGATGGATATCTTGCAGGAAGACATATTGCCCGCTTATCTATCTTGTGTAGCCCAGAGGTCACGTGAAGGGAATCTCAGAAGTAGCTCTGTGACATTTGCTTTGATGGGCCCTTCGCTAACAAGCAGAGAGGGTTCCACTTGCTCCCCACAGGAGTTCCGTTTGGATTCTTCCCCTGCAGTGACATTGGAGGCAGGATCGCCATGGAGTTTGGAGGAAAGACGATGTGTGTGTTTTTTTTTTCAACACTCACATGGGCTTTATTCGTAAGTCAAGACAAAACTGAATGTCAAAAACTGCTGGTAAAAAATTTGACACATTTGGCAACATTATGGAATTTCCACTATTAAAGTTTATAAAATTAGCTCCAGGAGTGACGGCATCTCTTTAAAGGTAGAACTCCAGTTGATCTTAACCTATCAACAATAACGTAGTTGAAGGGAGTATGGATGAGAGTCACGAAGAAGCTGATGAAGCCCATGATGGCAAAGCCAACTTCCGTTGCCATTGCGATATTTTGAAACTCTCTTTGCGGTCGGGCTTTGGCGTACTGCCTGGCGGGCTCCAGGAGCGTCATCAGCTGCTCCATGATGGATTTGTCTTAACCTGGCCCGAGTCTCTCATTACCTGGAGCCTCTCAGTATCTCCTTCTTGGCAGGCCGCACTCTTGACGTGCTCTTTCAAATACTTCACTTGAGACGACGTGTTTTTTTATCTGTATTAAATCTGCTCTGTTCCAGACTCCACATGGGTTCATCGCAACTTGTATCTGCCCTCCCTGAAGACTACTTGTGTATTCTTCTGGGCTGCAGTCACCATTGGCGACTGGACTCGCTTTTTGACGGACAACGGATCGGCTTGTGGTGAACAGCAGCACACCGTACACTGTACACAAGGCCATGCGTTGCGAATGATCGTCGCCACACGAGTGAGCCATCGTCATTAGCAACAACAAGGGCCATGATCCACCCACTGCTGGATGACAGCCCCTGCCCCTCCCACGTGTTACTCCGTGGTGGTCATTCTAACGGGCGTGGCCCCTCCTTGGGCTGCCGTTCTGTCGCCAGCCTCGTGCGTTGACCTTCACCCTTCATGCCCATGACGCGTCCAGCCCACGCCCCCTGACTTATCATCGTCGTTCTTCCCCTGCACCTCCGATTAGTAGAGTTGGCTACATACGACGTGAAAAAAGTTCACCGTCCACACATACATAACAGTTTGGATAATGATGTCATGAACCTGCGTATGCTGTCAAATTCATGTTTCTCTTTTGGTCTCTCAATTTTATTTCAAGCATGCACCTTTGCATGCTTTTTTGGGCACTTTTAAAATTTTCATTCTGTATTTTCATCAATAACAGTGTATCTGAACCTCGTCACAGCAGGTAGTATGTACTGATGAAAAACTTCAAGAGATAACATAGCAAACCTATATTATTCTAAAATTCAACTCTTAGTCAACAACATACTCCACTATATCCCATGATATTTAGTCGGAGCAATGAAGGCAATGTACAATTAAAGCAACTCGATTATTCAATGAGCATTCATGACAATTAATAGGATGTGAATATGGCATGAGGTGCGACTGTTTAGAATACCGCGCCACCACAGCCTGGACCAGATGGGGACATTTTTATTGTTTATTCATCAAATTATTTTCCTTGTCTTCTACAAGGAAATTTGCGATAGCTGCCACCTTGTATTCTAGAATGTGCTGGAATCGTAGTCACACCGCCCCCTACAAATAACTTTGGATTCATTGAATCTTATTTTTTTAACATCCGTTATTCAACTCATAACTGTAAAACTTTACTCAAAAACCGGATATTACCCTCTCCCAATTTTGAGGGGGCACTCATTGGGCCGAGCTAATCTACTTAATATTTACTACGTTTAGTTTACCAAGTAAGGCCCACCGAGCTAGTGAGCTCTTTTTCAGACGCGACCTGCCCACAACATTTATAGCAGCCAAATACTCTAAAACGCATGTTTCTAAGTGTGAATAAAAACCGAAGGACCCGGAGTAAAATCCACACGACCTGCGGGAGAATACGCAAACTCGAAATATGCAGGCGTCAGTGTCGGGATTGAACCCACGACCTGTATACCAGGCGCAGTTTTTGACATCTCGCCACTGCAGCGCCCCTAAGATGCATGCACACTCAATGCAGCTTATGGCCTCTCCACAGCGTTCTTTCCCAATCACAAATTCTCAGATTCCTGGGTTGCTCCACATGTACCAACGTGCATGCTACCCAAGACAGATCACATCACATGGTTCTAATTTTTTTCGTGTTCATGCCATAAAGACTCCTGGAATTTCATCGCTGTTAACATGTCCTTATTAACTCATCCACCTTTTTCACAATGTGGTCTTACATTTTCGATTCAGCATGATTATTTCACTGGCAATTGTATTTTACATGTAACCTTGCTTGTATATAGTTTTCGTGCAATTATCACCTGAAATCAATGGTAACATTTCCATTACTTAATTATACTTATGAACGTTTTTTTCATTGTAGAATTTCCCAAGCTAACTTTCGTTATGGACAATGTGCTTAATTTGATGTTTATTCCATTAATGTAGTATTTATTATTTATCCTGTAACATCTTTGTCTGTGTTCTGATTCATATCCAGTTGTCTGCAATGATCTCTATCTGACTGTCTCTGCTATGATCTTTATCTGGCTGTGTCTGCTATGATCTCTATCTGGCTGTCTCTGCTATGATCTCTATCTGGCTGTCTCTGCTAATGATCACTATCTGGCTGTATCTGCTATGATCTCTATCTGTCTGTGTGTGCTATGATCTCTATCTGACTGTCTCTGCTATGATCTCTATCTGGTTGTCTCTGCTATGATCTCTAACTGGCTGTCTCTGCTATGATCTCTATCTGGCTGTGTCTGCTATGATCTCTATCTGGCTGTGTCTGCTATGATCTCTATCTGGATGTCTCTGCTATGATCTCTATCTGGCTGTCTCTGCTATGATCTTTATCTGGCTGTCTCTGCTATGATCTCTATCTGGCTGTCTCTGCTATGATCTCTATCTGGCTGTCTCTGCTAATGATCTCTATCTGGCTGTCTCTGCTATGATCTCTATCTGGCTGATCTCTGCTCTGATCTATATTTGTCCGTCTCTGTTATTATCTTTATTTGACTGTTTTTGCTATGCTCTCTCTATGGCTGTCTCTGCTATGATCTCTATCTGACTGTCTCTGCTCTGATTTCTATTTGGTTCATCACGGTACTTTATTGTCTATGTTTCGCTCGAGTAATTTTGGAGACGCTGATCACTCTTGAATCATACACTTATACTGGTCTCTTGAGTTCCAACGAGGTAAAAAAAGACATTTGAATATGCGTGTTAATTATTTAATAAAATATGAAACATCTTTGGTGGTGTTAGTACGTAGACGGTGGACAGGTCTAGTAGCGTGAAAATGACACGAAGTTTGAGAATCGCCGATCTAAGGAGCTCGCTTTTAATTGTGTCACTTCAACAATCATTAATTATTTAATAGTAGGAGTCTAGGTATTGATCTCATGAATCTGTATTGAAAAAACTGTCATCTGCATCTGCTCATGCAGCAAACAGCATACAGCAGGAGCTTGGAAGTAGAATATCATCTTTACCTGATGAATTATCTGATGGTGAGTAATGGTATACAGTATTTCATCTTCACAATCTTCTTCTTTCTCATGGACATTGAAAAAAGCATCGGACTATAATTGTACTTTAAATTATGGAAGCCATTCCACTGCATCATCTGGGGTGGTAGCTGAGTGGCGTAGTCTGCTTGTTCCACCAGAACACGTGTGGTTGTATTGGGGTAGTCATCAGTGATGAACGCCTGATGAATTGTAACTCACCGCATACACCGTTTGCTGGGGTCCCTGACCGTTTATGGAGCTAATATCCACACCTCCCCGTGTATTTGGCTGTTGGAACGCGGTTGAGAGTGGTCACCACTGTCGTTGTGACAGCAGAGAGAAACCAGGAATGTTTATCCACTAGGTCTTTAAGGAGGGTCTTGTTTGGGACACCACTTGTTCCATCGTGTCTCACACCAACAGGTAGCACAGATATCCTTTTCGGCTGACAGAAGAGTAGACTAGGCATGTGTCCAAAAAGGATGTCTTGATTTCAACTGGAAGGAGAGTTACAGTGTGATTTGATGATAATAATGTGAGGGGGGGGGGGAGATTTGGACTTTCCAAGATCTGCTTGCGATCCCTTAAGAGTTGCAGCAGCGGTGGGGATGTCCGCGAGCGCTGGCTGCCGATTGTAGGAGTTGCTCTCTGCACACGGCAATGGCAGCAGCATTGATTTGAGTCGAGCCTGGCAGTCACAGCCGCTGGATCAGATGGGCACGGTGCGAGTGCTCTGTCGTGGAATGGATCAGGGCCTGCGTTTATATCCAAAGGGTTCTGGCAGCGTCGCATCCCAACGAATGATGTTGGCCTTTGGATTCCGTCTCCTTGCTGGTGGATTAGTCTAAAAAGGTGTTAGACCAGAGGATGCCTTATGGTTCCAAAGAAAGCTGTCTCTGGTGTTGACCAATCAGTTTAAAAGACAATGCATATATTATCAGAGTATGTTTTTTTGTTTACATTCTAACCACAAGTATTGTGGTTAATGCAGACATGATTCCTTGTTAAAGGTTTCAGTTTGGTGTTTTAACATCTTAACACCTAAATTTCGATTTAAATCTTTCGTGACTGTAGGGATTCATCTTCTTGGTTCTTTCGGTAAAGTCACGTAGAAGGGAAGTAATAAAATAATAAAAATAAAACATAATAAAATAATTATCACAACGTTTCGGCCACAACACAAGCAGCCGTCCTCAGGTGAAGACCAGGTCTGTCGAGGCGACAGCATCTAAATGAAACACCACCATGCTTGGAGCGTCTATTTAAGCTGGGTTGGAAGGGGGGGGGGAATGCGCCTTGACAAAAGAATCTGCATATCAAGAGGAATTTTAGCATATTTATGGGAAATGCAGGAATGCGAATAGTGCTAATTTGTGAAATGTGTAGGAGGTGGGCGGGGGGTTTTCAAAGTTATATTATGCCTATGCATTATGCAGGATTAGCAGCATCAAAGGGAGGGGGTAGGGGTAGCATTAATAAAGAGAAGAAATGTTAATAGTATGTAGCTGCAGTAACTAAACAACCACGTAAAAAGCTAAAGTATAAACTACATAGTATCATCAGTATGCTAAATATACTCTAAATAAGCTGAGCTACCAACCGTAAGCAATACATTACAATTCTAGGTCGCAAAAAATATAATGTGTCTGTGTCTATATATATATGGATGGCTTCATGAACGAAACTTTGTTGATAGCCACTGGGTTTGCAAAGTACCTTCGTCTTTGAGAAATCAATTTCGTGTGAGCCTACTGCATTAAAACAATGATAAGACACGGCCGAGGTATTGGTCCTACCGTGGTTCAGATCTGCCTTATGTTCACGAACACTGTACGAGACATATCTCTTAGTTTCCCAAATGTAACTACTGCCACAGACACAGCTTAGTTTGTAGACGCCGGGATATTGCATGCCATGGATCACATCCTTCACAGATGGGATCAGATCCCAAATTTTATGTACTGTGTTAAATCGAACCTGGATCATGTGTTTGTTCATGATTTTGTAAATCTTATCGGTGATCCCTGCAATGTATGGCAATGTGATGGTTTTGATTGGGTCCTCAGATGGTTCTTTCCCACTGGTTGGGTGATTGTAGTCTGAATATCCATTCATCTTGAGAGCTTGGTGTAGGTATTCCAGTTCACTGGCTAGGTGATGATGGTCAGAAATAAATCGAGCTCTATGGTGTAGAGTTTTGATGAGGAAATTCTTCTGGGATGGGTGGTAGTGGGAGTCAGGTTTTAGGTAGGCATCTGTATGGGTGGCTTTCCTGTAGACAGTGTCCCATTGAGCCATCTGGTCTCTTTTCGATTAACCCATCCAAGAATGGTAACTTGACATCCTTTTCCACCTCCATTGTGAAGTTGATGGCTGGGTGTATGGAATTGATGTGGTTGAGGAATTGGTTTAGAGCTGGTCGGCCATGTGGCCATATGACGAACGTGTCATCTATGTACCTCTTCCAAAAGGACGGACGTAGTGTGGATGCCTGGATGTCACCTGTCTCAAAATTTTCTATGAAAACATTAGCTACAACTGGAGATAAGGGGTACCTTCAACTTGTTTGTAGAATGTTCCATTCCAGGTGAAGTAAGTGTTGGTGAGGCAGTGTCTCACCAGAGTCGGTACATCAGCATTCAGTCCTTGTTTGACCAAATCTTCAATGATTGCAATGGTGTCAGGCACAGGAACTTTGGTAAACAAAGAGACCACATCGAAACTAACGAGCAAATCACATGGAGATCGTGAGATGTCCTTAATTAACGATACCAAGTGAGCTGAGTTGAGTACAGCTGAGGTGGTCTTACCAGTGAATGGTTGTAAGGTCTCAGACAGAAATCGGGTTAGTTTGTTGGTGGGTGAGTCGATGGTGGAGACGATAGGACGAAGGGGTGTCCCTTCTTTATGGATTTTTGGTAAGTCATACAATCTGGGTGGTCTAGCAGCAGAGGGTTTTAAGGAGTTCAGTGGAGACACTCTCTCCTCTGGGTTTAGAAGACATTTTCTCACGTGCGTTGAAGAGGTTTTGACATAACTAATCTTGCTGTATAAATATCCTCATTTGTCAATATTTCTTTTTCTTACTCAGATGATGTAATTTCACTCTTATTGGATTATGGACGCATCCTGCAGCAACCTTATGAAATCGAAAGCTCCATGTCACTCCAAGGTAATTGTGGAATGAAATGACCTTCAAATAAAACTCTCATTTTCGCACAATATTTATGTGGTCTATATTATAATCAGGCGGCGGCTATGCACATGGCCTGTTGAGCATTAGTCATATCCTAGCTCGCCAGAAGGGGCTACAGCAAATGTGGACCCGACCTCTTCGATCTTTATGGGATAGAATGTTACCCTCTCGCGCGAGTGGGTTTTCTCCAGGTGCATCGATTTTCGCTCGGGTGCAAACACTCATTAAATGTTCGATAACACCTTCATATATAGAGGACCGCAGAGCTTGGACAATAGTTGGTGCTGGTTCACAGAGTGGCTGCCTTCCTGCTTGTCTGTAGTTGCTCCCCGAACCTCTGAGCCGTTCTCTCTCGACAAAAGTGATTATTGTGCTGCATGTTACAAGTTTAATCTATATACACTTATATTGAACCTGGCTGAGTTCAATCCTGGCTGGGACTAACATCAGCAGTGGCATTATATGTCAACCGATCCCTGCACCAATCCACGCCGACGAGCACGGTGAAGCACGGATCTAACAACTCACATGGATGGCACGACATGGTGTCCTTCATCCAGCAGTGCTTTGACAAATGGCTGTGAATGTAAATGACAGCGGTGTGCCACGTCGTCAATTAGCTTGAGTTGCCATTGCGTGAGGTGTGCGGAGTGTCCCCCGTGTGAAGCCACCTTAACGCGTTTTTCATTCCCTCCCTCCCTGCCAGTTACTCTGAACGCCTCGTTCGACAGAGTCGCGATCATACGTATGATTAACACAACCACAGATACTTTCGATGCACTACTCCTTTCTGGTAATCTCTACGAAGTTCTTTCATGTAGCTCCAACTATAGTTGCGTCCTCAAACTTTCCTACAATCAGCCAAGTGGTGACGGTGCCGCAAACTCTACGACGATGGATTTAGAACACTTTATGACCTTATCGGTCGCCTACGTGAATGACTGGCAAGTGGATCTATCCTCGTTCTCCATTGTCATCATAGACATCCACCGCAGTGTCAAGAACCCTGCTGTTAAAAGTCTTCAACGCAGTAAGTACAGCTCCATGCACTTAGCCAACACCGCTGGGATCCTGGGTTCGAATCCGGGATTTCAGCCGTCTATGATCGAACTGGGTTTCTCTGTTAAGCTGGGTCAATCTTCCCTGCTACACTAAACAAAAAAAACTCACCCTGTGCTCCGGTGTGTGGGAATGCATTACAGCTGAGAGAGAATTCACACTCCCTTGCTTATGTAGTGACGACAGGGACGGTCGAGCTTGAGGCAACACCCGTTTATTAACACTTACGTAGGTACAGCATATAACTGAAGAGGTAGCGGCCTCTTCACCCGTTTATTAACAGTAAGCACTCCCAGGCTAGCTGCCACCCGTCCTCTCAAGGAGACTACCTGATCTGGCCCTGGCTAGGCACAGATCTCGACTACCAGCCACACGAAGTCGGCCCTTAGAAGGACGTCGACCTTCGCGGCTCTGGAGTCGCACCACTGGCTTGCTCTAGGCGGCCCTTAGAAGGACAGCGACCAGAGGAGTTCCAGGGACTAGCTAGCTGGCCTTCAATCTTCACTGGTTCTTCATCTTGACCCGTTCCCAACGTCTGCCTCGAGCTCTCTGGCTCTCCGATTTTTATACCAACTTGCCACCGAGGGGCGGGGCTGTATGGGATCACAGCATCCTCCCACAGCCCCCCAGGGTGGTAACCGTTTGTGGATGTGGACACCCCTGTGTAATCGTCCGTTTTCCTTCTGTAACACCCCTACACTTATACCAATCTTGTTAAGAACAAGGAAATCAAGTGGCACTGACATAATCAGTACAAGAATTTCCCAAACTGCGTGAGTGTCTCCACGTCTGTCTCCGTGTCTGCCTGTGTGTGTCTCTGTTTATGGGGAGCTGTGGCGCAGTGGTTATCGCGTTGCACTAGGAAACCGTCGATCCGACTTCGATTCCCGCTCACGGCCAACATTTTTGATGATTATCTAAACCGGTCCTGGGCCTCCTCTATATCGGTTTAGCGTCAGATGAGTACTCGGTACAGTGTGTAAACATCGCCACTGTGGAAACAAAGGCGGCCGGGCGTGGTGATGGTCTCCTACCCCCTCGTGTGCCGTGCTGGCCTACATAGGTGCTCACTAACAGAACTTGCCCCAACAGTCTGTTAAGGCTTTGTATTTGTTTGCCCAACTGCTCATGCGAGGGAGTTGAAAGGGCCAGGGGTGGGGGCTGATGGCAGTCTGCTTCCGTGCTGTGCCAAGGCGACTGATTGAGGGGGTGGGAGGTGAGGGGTGGGGTCTTGAAGGTCTTTCCTCTCCAAAAACTCACAAAATAATTCCCAGCACACCTGGTGGGCCACTGCTCACCGCTTTCGAAGTACTGCTCCAGTTTGTAGTGATCTGGTTCAACTCTTCATGCATTTTTATTGATACCTGAATTTGGCACATCTCACCCTGAGCACAAAAGGAAAACAATCTGTTGTATTGCTACTTGATGCTTACTCTTGTAGAGTCCGTTCTCTAACGTGAGCTGGCATTTCCAATGGCATTGTTTTGTCTGAAGACATGATGTCTGCAGAGACATGCTGCTGCTAATCCTGCATAATGCATAGGCATAATATAACACACTGAAAGGGAGTTACACGATTTCTTGTCAACAACTACCCGCCATCACCAACCTCAACAATGTTCTTCATCACTGACTCAAGTCCCAACCCCTTTCTGGGATCGCACTGCGGTCACCATCCTAGAATCTCACCCAGATCCAGAAGAATGCTGATGGTGAACACAGTGGAAAAGAGCCGACATCCAGAATTAACAGTTCATTCAAGACCCAAACATCGCCCCTCTTAGCTTTCGCCATTCCTCCAATATACTGGTGTAGCCATCAATCACATCAGAATTTCAACAGGCCGATAGCGCACATCTCCTTCACGCATGTAAAATGAAAGCCAGGCCACAGCAGTGCGATTGTGGCCATGCAACCCAAACTATGGCTCATATAGTAAACCCCTATAGTCTTCACTCCTTCACTGGACTAGGAACAGCAAAACGATGCAAACTCTCTCCTGCAGTCCTCTCGTCGTTGCCAGCAGCAAACCTTCACATTGGCACCGATCTCCTAAACGTATCGCTGCTGCCATCATGCACAAGAATACAATATGCAGTACCAGTGAGCAGTTCTGGGCTGTCACCAGACGTAGGGCCTAAGTATAGAAAATTATCTTAAGATAACTCATACATTTGGCAGGCAAATATTTTAACTAGACATTATATGGCATGAGAGAAGGCAAATTGTAAGTCAAAGCCATCGTGAGATCGTAACCGTCCCTGAGGCAAGAGCCGTTGATTAGGAAAACGTCATCCTACTGCAGCAGCCCGTGGGTTTCCTGGGAAGACAAAAACTTCCATCCCACATGGTCATTGTGACATTATCTCTCCGTGAGTGTAAGCAGGTCTGTGGCTGAGGAAAGTATATCAATGTTATACGTTGATTATATGAGTGAAGTTAATAATGTTAAAGGTGGTGTCAATGTTTTTCATTATTATTTTTCGCATTGTGATATTAAGTATCACCGGCTACTTTAAACCTACAAGTGGTCCTGACCACAATTGTTACATTACTACGACGTTGTAACGTGCCATGGACTCCTTTGAGGATGCACGAGAGTTTTTTTGGCTGGACAACCTGAGGTTGCTTCTAGATTTAAAGCTTTAGATTTGAAGCTTTCGTGACTGCAAGGATTCATATTCTTTAATTTTACTTTTATTAATTTAAAATTTTTACCTACGTGACTTTACCGAAAAAACCTAAGAATATGAACCTGAGGTTGCGTTCGCTGCCCACGTGACTTTTAGCCATGGCACGTGACCGGTATCGCAACTCCCCGAGCACCCAGAGCCAGTGCTTGAATACAGACGCCTCGAGGTGCTGGCTCAAGGGCCTGCCAGGCATTGGCTTTCCAACTGACAGTCAATGCAACGTTCTTGTTGTTTTGCAGGTCCTGACATCCGTAACATGGGCTGCCTGTGTATCAATAAAGATTTGCCATTAGGTAGAGAAAGATGGTGTGTAACACTCGGCAGCGCACCGTCACTGATCACACTAAAGCGCATGGAGGCTTGCACCGAACCCTTTGCGCACAGGGCAAATCGGACGCTGCAGCACGTGCTCAGTGGAAAATGCCTCACGCTTTCCTCAACATTGGACTTGAGCTTCGATGATTGCTCATTCGCCAGGACTGTTATATTCCAGCGCCAGGCAATGAAATTGTGGAGGCCTTTGTCAAGCAGCGATTACATCTGCGTGAAAAGTGACGGTTACACTCTCCAGCATGGCACGTTCAAGGAGAGAGCTCGCTTCTTCTTCAGCACAGGTAAATACTTTTGCATAGACCAACTCTGTCATCTCTTATACCGCTCTTCCACTGGCACATCCGAGCTTCACGGTCCAGGTTGTTTTTCATTGACTATTTGCTGTGCCAGACTGTAAAAACACTGTGATACGCTGGCCTCAAGACATATAAATGTGGCTGGGGCTAAACGGGGCCAGGGGTGGGGCTAACGATGCATTTGTTGTGTGCGAACGTCCGTCAGTACACTCGGACACAGTGTCACCGCATCGTCCAAATGACTCGTTCGTTACTTGCAAAGTTGACAGCACACAAATGGCTGGGCTTTTTAAGTGGAAAAATAACCTGGTGCCGTGCCTCCTGAGCTATGCTGGGCTGGCTCGACACTGGCCCAGCGTGGCACGATAGCAGAGGTGTGGACTCGAGTCATGTGACTTGGACTCGAGTCAGACTCGAGTCATGAATTTGATGACTTCAGACTCGACTTGGACTTGCATAACAATGACTTTGTCCCACCTCTGAGGTGTGGACTCGAGTCATGTGACTTGGACTCGAGTCAGACTCGAGTCATGAATTTGATGACTTCAGACTCGACTTGGACTTGCATAACAATGACTTTGTCCCACCTCTGCACGATAGTACAGCAGAAAAGAGGTGATAGAAAAACGTTGGCCGGGTATACATCCTCAGATATCGCTCGCCACTGCTGTTAGCCATGGGCAATGAATCAAACTGAGGTCAGCAAGTTAATGTCTCAGTGTTTAAAACCATTGTGTAACCACTCCCCACAACAATAGTAATTTGTGAGAGCCACTATCTCTGATACAATCCGGTGACCATCAGAGTTGTGTGGAAACTCATGGCCAAACAAAGTAGATCTTAATCTTGATGTGAAAAAAAACCTGCTGGGGGATTAAATCTTGACTTAAAGCGTTCGTGTCTGCAGGAATTCATATTATTGGGTCTTTCGGTAGAGTCACGTAGATACGTTCAGAGAAAATAACAAAAATAACAAAGAAAACTTCGACGTTTCGATCGCAACATAAGCGGTCGTCTTGAGGAAAATTGGGGTTAGCTTCCAAGGCAAACTTTTTATAAAGGTTTGCAAATAGTCGTAGCCCAAATGTCAGCAGCCAATGATATTGTAAGTGCTGGACAGCCAACCCGACGGTGGTTGGTTTTTCACCAAAGGGCTGCCAGGTGAGAATTAGCATGTTAAAGAGAGTTTAGCATGTTAATGGAAGATCGCAGTGCCGCAACCAAAGGGTCAGCGCGCGAAGTGACTGTGAAAGCGCAAGTTTGAAATGGGCGTAAAGCACAACTAACATCGGAAGGTGGTAGGATGGGAACATCATAGCCAATTATGACTAAAACTGGTTGATAACGTCCTTCCAATGTTCAGTTTGTACCCATTTTCTCGGTGGAAATTGTGTCTATGTCTATATACAGTATATGGATGGCTTCATGAAGAATCTTTGTTGATAGCCAGTGGGCTTGCAAGAAGAAGCCAGATCCACACATCAAAAAGTTAGACGTGGACAAGACTGTTATCAATCAGAGTAACACTCCAATTTCAGACAGCCTAAAATCGGTTCTAGCCAAAGGGTTGAATTTCGCAGTCACCCCTAAACACATCCCAGTTGATGATATGATTGCCCAGGTCGATGTAGCCCTTATGGGATTGGGACACATTACTGCAGACGTGGCAAGATCGGAAATTGCTGCAATCCTCAAAAACGCTAAGACACCTATTAGCAACATCAGTAAAGATGAGCGCTTTGAGCTTTTTCAATTAAAAAAGAGAGATGACATCGTCATCCTTTCACCCTACAAGGGCAATGCCACAGTTATCATGGACAAAACCACATACAATAACAAAATTCAGGACATACTTAATATGATGGTAGCTATACCAAAATTAAAAGAGATCCCACCAACCGCCTGGTTACGAAAACCAACAATATCATCACTGATTCGACATCTTTGATCGAACCAACCAAGTGGTTATCCTTAAAACCCTCTGCTGTTAGACCACCCAGATTGTATGGCTTACCAAAAATCCATAAAGAAGAGACACCCCTTCGTCCTATCGTCTCCACCATTGACTCACCCACCAACAAACTGGCCCGATGTCTGTCTGAGACCTTACAACATTTTCACTGGTAAGACCACCTCAGCTGTACTCAACTCAGCTCACTTGGTATCGTTAATTAAGGACATCTCACGATCTCCATGTGATTTGCTCGTTAGTTTCTATGTGGTCTCTTTGTTTACCAAAGTTCCTGTGCTTGACACCATTGCAATCATTGAAGATTTGGTCAAACAAGGACTGAATGCTGATGTACCGACTCTGGTGAGACACTGCCTCACCAACACTTACTTCACCTGGAATGGAACATGCTACAAACAAGCTGAAGGTACCCCTTCAACTTGTGGGTTTTCCCTTATCTCCAGTTGTAGCCAATGTTTTCATACAGTAATTTGAAACAGATGCCATGCAGGCATCCACTCGACGTCCGTCCGTGTGGAAGAGAGCAATGATATCATCAACTGGGATGCGTTTAGGGGTGACTGCGAAATTCAACCCTTTGGCTAGAACCAAGTTTAGGCTGTCTGAAATTGGACTGTTACTTTGATTGATAACAGTCTTGACTACGTCTACCTTTTTGATGTGTGGATCTGGCTTCTTCTTGCAAGCCCACTGGCTATCAACAAAGATTCGTTCATGAAGCCATCCATACCATGAGGGAAAAAAGTATTTGATCCCCTGCTGATTATGTACGTTTGCCCACTGACAAAGAAATGATCAGTCTATAATTTTAATGATAGGTTTATTTGAACAGTGAGAGACAGAATAACAACAACAAAATCCAGAAAAATGCTTGTCAAAAATGTTATAAATTGATTTGCATTTTAATGAGGGAAATAAGTATTGTGACCCTCTGCAAAACATGACTTAATACTTGGTGTCAAAACCCTTGTTGGCAATCACAGAGGTCAGACGTTTCTTGTAGTTGGCCACCAGGTTTGCACACATCTCAGGAGAGATTTTGTCCCACTGCTCTTTGCAGATCTTCTCCAAGTCATTAAGGTTTCGAGGCTGACGTTTGGCAACTCGAACCTTCAGCTCCCTCTACAGATTTTCTATGGGATTAAGGTCTGGAGACTGGCTAGGCCACTCCAGGACCTTAATGTGCTTCTTCTTGATCCACTCCTTTGTTGCCTTGGCCGTGTGTTTTGGGTCATTGTCATGCTGGAATACCCATCCACGACCCATTTTCAATGCCCTGGTTGAGAGAAGGAGGTTCTTATTCAAGATTTGACGGTACATGGCCCTGTCCATCGTCCCTTTGATGCGATGAAGTTGTCCTGTCCCCTTAGCAGAAAAACACTCCCAAAGCATAATGTTTCTACCTCCATGTTTGACGGTGGGGATGGTGTTCTTGGGGTCATAGGCAACATGCCAAAGAACTCCATTTTGGTCTCATCTGACCACAACACTTTCACCCAGTTGTCCTCTGAATCATTCAGATGTTCATTGGCAAACTTCAGATGGGCATGTATATGTGCTTTCTTGAGCAGGGGGACCTTGCGGGCGCTAAAAGATTTCAGTCCTTCACGGCGTAGTGTGTTACCAACTGTTTTCTTGGTGACTATGGTCCCAGCTGCCTTGAGATCATTGACAAGATCCTCCCGTGTAGTTCTGGGCTGATTCCTCACCGTTCTCATGATCATTGCAACTCCACGAGGTGATATCTTGCATGGAGCCCCCGGCCGAGGGAGATTGACAGTTCTTTTGTGTTTCTTCCATTTGCGAATAATCGCAACAACTGTTGTCACCTCATCAAGCTGCTTGGCGATGGTCTTGTAGCCCATTCCAGCCTTGTATAGGTCTACAATCTTGTTCCTGACATCCTTGGAGAGCTCTTTGATCTTGGCCATGGTGGAGAGTTTGGAATCTGATTTATTTATTGCTTCTGTGAACAGGTGTCTTTTATACAGGTAACAAGCTGAGATTAGGAGCACTCCCTTTAAGAGTGTGCTCCTAATCTCAGCTCGTTAACTGTGTAAAATACACCTGGGAGCCAGAAATCTTTCTGATTGAGAGGGGGTCAAATACTTATTTCCCTCATTAAAATGCAAATCAATTTATAAAAATTTTAACATGCGTTTTTCTGGATTTTCTTGTTGTTATTCTGTCTCTCACTGTTCAAATAAACCTACCATTAAAATTATAGACTGATCATTTCTTTGTCAGTGGGCAAACGTACAAAATCAGCAATAGATCAAATACTTTTCCCTCACTGTATATATAGACACATACACAATTTCAACCGAGAAGATGGGTAAAACTGAGCAATCATTGGAAGGACGTTTTCAACCAGTTTCAGTCATAATTGGCTATGATGTTCCCATCCTACCACCTTCCGATGTTAGTTGTGCTTTACGCCCATTTCAAACTTGCACTTTCACAGTCACTTCATGTGCCGACACCTTGGTTGCAGCGCTGCGATCTGCCATTAACATGCTAATCTCTCTTTAACATGCTAATTTTCACCTGGCAGCCCTTTGATTGGTGGAAAACCAACCAACGTCGGGTTGGCTGTCCACCACTTACATTATCATTGGCTGCTGACCTTTGGACTACGCCCATTTCAAATCCTTATAAACAGTTTGCCTTGGAAGCTTACCCCAATTTTCCTGAAGACGACTGCTTGTGTTGCGATCGACACGTCATAGTTTTTGTTGTTGTTTTGTTATTTTCTTTGAACCTATCTACGTGTTTTTTACCGAAAGACCCAAGAATATGCTGGGGATTCCCCGTTGGGTTTTTCTGTTGATGATAAATGTTTAGCATGATCAACACAATGTCGCATATTTGACCCATTACACATCTGATCTCATCAATTAACCAGCGCAAGATTTGTGCAGATGGTGTACAACTCATATTCTATAGATGTTCACTATCTGACTATACCTTAGACACCGTATTAGAAGCTTGTTTTGAGAAAAATGTGGAGGACATCAGGGCTTTCGGGCGATGACAGATGTCTGCAAAAACAAAGTTCTGTGAAATGTATTATTCTTTTGCTGTTCAAAGGGATCTCATTGCCGTGAAGTCACCCTACTCCTACTCTTCCGCATGCACTCTCCCCCATCCACAATTACCATCACTACCCAAACCAGCCCCATCCCGTTTTTGTCCAGGGGAGGGGCCTACAAAGGTAAGGGTGGGGTCTAAAGAATAAGGGGCCAGACCTAAACAAAGGAAAGGTGTACAGCCCAAAGATACAGGGTCCTTATTCAGGAAGCGGTTGGGGCCTGATCAGGAAGTGGTGGGGCCTAATTGGCAAGGGGTTTGGCCTAATGAATAAGTCGGTAGAGAAAAATGAGGAAGAAGGCGGGGACTAAAGAGGAAGTGAGAGGCCTATAGAGGTTGAATTTCCTGTTTATTTAACGTAATGGAAGCATATAATTAAATGCGTGCAGCAGACAGCAGCAGAATAACTTTAGTGCTGCAGATCTGGGCACAGTCCAACGAGTATGTTACATTGTAAATCTATTCACGTGTGAATACACCCTTTTTATATATTTTAAATGTCCATGAACACAAAATAACTTGAGATCTGTCAACACTGGTGTATTAATGAAATATTCAAATTTTTGTTGTTGGGGCGATTTTTTTGTATATCACCAATTATATTATAACATTGCTGTTCTTGCCTTTTGCACATAAGCCTTCCCACCTCTGGCTACCATTTAATCGATGCACATTGCCTAATTACCAATCTGTCTACCTATCTACCTACTCACCTGAGGGCACAGCCACATTTTAGAAGTTGGGGGCACTCACGAATGGTTCCTGGTGATTACCGGTTCGACGACACAATCTGTCAAGTTCCGACCCCATTTTATGACTAACAAAAGTTCTACTAAAACTAATGTATATAATTCTGCTTGATTATCCAGGAAAGCCTCACTGAGTCTCAAGACTCTAACAGGAGGGTCCTGCCAAGTGTTTATGCAGAGGAGAGCGATGTTGCTGCTCTGCTTATAATCACAAATGAGGAATTTGTAGGTAGATTTTCAGCATTGAGACACTTGGCCAATACCAGTCACACTGTCTATGGCTTTAGCCATGGGAGGAAAGCGGGTAATCCAGAGGGAAGTACGCAAAATAGGGGGAGATCATACTAACGGCATTTACTCACACACACTCATACTCTCACACGCATTTTGCAGAACAAAGGGAGAACAAACTCTCCGCAAAAGGCACCTGATTCGGGAAATTAACCCAGGCTCTTCTTTCTGTGAGGCACAATTGTTACCTCTTTGCCACTGTGCCAGCCTGCTGCCCTAAATTGTGACCTATGCAAATACTGAGCCGACTATTCACGTACTACTTTGTATTTAATGGTTCCATCAACAAGCATAATCTATGTCGTCTTGTTGAATGAAGAAAAATGCAAACTCAATTACAATCTTAACCCCAATTATACAAAGACTATTGTCCAAAATACTGCAGTTGTCTTCTAGCCATATTTGAAATATTTGGGGTAGTCTGGACACCCACAAAGCCCGGAGTGGTTGCACCCCTGTACTCACCATATTCCTACCTGCCCACCTACCCTCCCTGCTTAGAATACTCAAATCCTGTCGGGATGGAATCGAAGTTTTTACCAAATGCCTTCATCCGAGCCTCGTCAGAATTCAGCAAAGCACTGGGCGCAGGCGAGGCCAGGCTGGGCAACCTTGGCGGGTTTTGGAGACCGGCCATCGATGCCGGTTCCTACATCGAGGTGGATTTTAAGACGCCCGTAAATGTGACGGGCGTGATTCTGCAAGGATCTAGCCCAGAGGTCGACTTTGCCAAAAAGTGGGAACCCTCGTGGGTCACGTCTGTGATATTCAGTGCTTCCAACACCAGCGTGTTCAAGGATATACAGGTGACATAAGTTATCACTGATACAGTGTGCTGCATATAAAGATATTAATACGTAGGATAAAGAATAAGACAAATTGAGTAATAGTGAATCAGTGTCGATGAGACAAGAGAGGGCTGTAGTAATCATAGGTTTATGGTAAGTGAGCTGATTGAGTCGGGTTGTGAGTATAGGGAAGATCTTCGGGTTTACTTTGTAGGCTTTAAGCAGGCGAATTACTCTTGTGTGGAGGGAGGGAGGGTGTGGGAACGGCTCTATTATGGCATCTCAGGTAAGAGAAGTCAGGTGCTTAAAAACGTTCATGATGGTACTCAGGCCTCTTGTTCGAATAGGAGAGACATCAGAACGGATTTTATGTTGTTGCTCCAGGTGTCAACCGAGGTTGTATATTGCCTCCTACGTGATAGACTATGCATTCAGAACGCGGTCATAACAGTGGAACATTTAGGCACCAATGCAGATGAGATGAATGTGCAGAACTTAGAATGCAGATGACACGGGTTCATTGGTTTGTGCGTGGGCATAGATACCACTCAGACTGGACACTCAGAAGGCAAATCTGATTGCAGCAGTTATTAACGTGGCCACTTCGGTACGCTCACAATTTCCGGTAGGTGGAAAGAGGGATCCCGTAGCAGAGGACTTTGTGACTTGGGCAGTAATGTGAACAGTGCAGGGGTTGTCAGAAGGAGGTCGAGAGATACAATTATTATTCTCGCAGGCGAGTTTCTAGATTGGTTGTGGAAACCGCTTTTAAAAGTGAAAGGATACGTTTGTAGAGAAAATGAGATTCATGAAGACAATGCCATCATCTGTATGCTGTATGGGTCAGAGGGCTGAGCTCTGTGTAGCTCCTCAAGACAAGATGTGTATTTGAGCACAGATATCTGAGATGGACACGAGGAAGGTTGTTTCAAAGACAAGATAGGCGATGCACAAGTCCCGAAGGGATCATACCAAGTACTTAAAGTGTTTGTGTGTAATTGTATCAACCTTGCTTAAACTACCATTTAATCACCATTAACGATGAACCATACCTTTGTGATCACGCAGTGCAGTGCATTTTTATTATTTTGAGGTATTTCCGTTGATATTTCCGAATAACCATTTGCACTTTGTGATGTTCTCAATATAAAAAAAAATGTATGCCAAATTATAGGAGTGAAAATAAATATAAACACGGAACCTGAAGCACACAGTACTGCCTGACATGTATGTAATATATCCGTGCAGTTAACGATTAAAGTAATTTAAAAAAACTTTCCCTCTAATTTTCTGGGCGTCAAACAAACCCCCGTCATTTCTGGGATGCAGTAAATCTGACTTTGTTATTTTTACGTCAGGCTGTGTATAAGGTGCACGCTTCTACAGGTTTGCTGTAATTGTTGCTTTTTTCCATTGCATGAACACCTCTCTGTGTGTGACAAACAGGTGAGCAGCGTCGATCTTGACGAGTACAGGAAAGTGAAGATCTACTTTGCCAATATGACATGCGCGACCATTTTACGATTAACTCCGACTTCGTCGCATGGCAACGTCTCTCTCCGATTTGAGGTGCTCGCAAACTACCACAAAATTAACACCACCTTCATAGACTATATCCCAATCGACACTAACGGATCGATAAAGTTCTTCGCCAACAACACCTTCAGCAACCTCGCCTGCTACTGGTGGGATATCAGCAACGTCAGCAAAATCATGATCGGCCACGCGCTCTGCGACTACGTGTGCAACTGCAGCGCTAAAAGGTTCCCTTTGCAAAACGACCTGGAGTTCGTGTACACATTCCCGCTCCTCGGTTTATACAACGTTACTGTCACCGAGCTGGTGCCCTTCGCCTCCGCGACGTATGAGCGCATGGAGGTCGCTGTGAACAGCAGGGGTTGCAAGACCCTGTCGGTAAACATCGACGACAACAGCGTGAGCCTTGCGAGAGCACGGACCGTTTCTCGTAAAGACGCCCTCGTACGTTTAGCGACGTTATACGGCTTCTGCATCCGTGCGCAGATGTACTTTTTCGATTGGATCGCAACCGACCTCTCCAAGGGCTCGTCCAGGCAGCTCAACGCCATGTCGAGGTACGTTAGGTTCCCGCCAAACTTTTTCAGTCCTGGGAAGTTCTCAGTGACGGCAAAGGGAAGATACATCGGGAACTTCTCACTGGAGAAATCGAGCACCATCTATATCAACGTGCCAGCCTCTCAGCTCGTTGTGGCGTTCCGCGGAGCAGGCACTCGGGTTGTGGGCAACGACCAGGACCTCGTGGTTGATGCCGGAGAATTTTCATATGACCCCGATGATGACATTTTGCCCGGAAACCTGAGCTTCGCCTGGAACTGCTCGCTGGTGCTAGATCTGTCGGCCACCCCAGCAGGATGCGGAGACGGCACCGTCACCAATGGCTCCATGTTCATCGCTAATGCGAGTGCCCTGATCGTGGGTTCCACGATGTCCATCACAGTCACCGCTACTAAGGGTCACAAGACGGGATCGGCAACGCAGATGGTTAAAATCACCAGCGACTCACCGCCGGATATTTACATAAGGTTAGCTATCACTTTTTGTGTGCTACCTGTAGTGTTCGTGTCAACAAAAAAAATCGAGGTGGCCACGTGGATCAAAGGGATACTGCTACGCCAGGGTACCAATCTGACACTGTTAAGCTCTGGGTGCAAATATATTTATTCTTGAAACTATTCTAAATTTGGAACGTGTCACTGCCATACCATATTCGCTTAGTCTCATAGAGAGAGAAGGACTCGGCACGAGAGACAGGCAAGCAGGAAGGCAGCAGCCATGCGGTGAGCTGGCGCCAACTATTGCCCAAGCTCTGTGGTCCACAATATATGAGGATGCTGTCAGCTAAGTAATGAATGTTTACACGTGGGAGGAGACTTGAGCATTTGGAGAAAACCCACGAATGCGAGAAGGTAACACTATCCCATACAGATGGAAAAGGTGGAGTCCAGATATTTGCCATACTGCCGTCTCCTGGCGAGCCAGGGTATCGCAGGGTATCGCACCACCTTGAACCCAATGACCTTTTACCTGTACCCAAGTACAGTGCACTGTTAACAAAAGGACTGCAATTGGTAACCGCTCATCAAAATGTCCATCATTCAAATTATTTTGTTAAACCAGAAGAAAACTCAAGAGACTAGGATGAGTCTAATTTCAAGAGTGACCCGAGTAATTTGTCTGCCAGTAAAGGGGCGATTATTCCTGCTATGTGTGTGCAATCCCAAATGCATAATTTGTGGTAAAATCTGAATATGGCAAATTTGGACCCTGCTCTTGTGTATCACATCATGGGATCTTGTAACCTCCACTGTGAAACAGGTGCCACATAGTATTATCCTGGTTATTGCACCCGGTAGTGATAATCGGTTGATCAATATCACCAAAGGCACATTGTGCTCACAGTACAGGCAGATGGTGCTTAGCGCTGAAGATGCATTCCTGGAGTAGTGAGCGCTCATCAAATCAGCATTAAAGGGGTCATCATACAGTTGTTTCCATGGGGGTGCGTTCCCGACATTGTTATTTCTTATATATGAGCAATGTATGAGGGCTTCATTGGGATATCGGTAATAGCGCAAAAATTAATACAGATGGCAAACATTATTTGAGAATTCAATAACATCAATATTATGTACTGTACTCACAAGTGCATCTTCCTACAAAACAGTGGAGGGAGACGAGGTTTGAGGAACTACTACTGGGAATATGGTGTATTTTTTTTAACTAGCAAGCTTGGCTTGGACCACAGCATATTGTAATAATATTGAATAACAAATTAATTGTTCAATATGTAATCGTGACCACATACAGGCTTGTCTCGCTTAGCGAGCGTTCTTTTTTCTAGAATTCGCTATAACGTGCAATCTGAATTTAGACCCATTTATTTGAAAAACGAGAAAAAATGTCACTTGGCAAGCAGAGACCGATCGATCGAATGCCCCCCGTGGTCCGTCAGGAGGTGCACGGCGGCCCGTATCTGTTTGTTTACCAGCTGTGCTGTGCCCGCGTATTTTGTTGTGTGGGAAGGGGACCTCGTGGTAGCCCTGCAATGGGTGGGTTGGCAGGCGGATGGGGTGGGCGGCGGCACTAATTATATGCGGACACTGATGGCAAGAAGTCATGCTCCATCTCGCATCGCTGCATCATGGCCAATAACCCAGCAACTCTAATTCGATTCCGAGCCACGGTTAACATCAGTGGGGAGTGATATTTGAAACAGTGGTCCTGCACCGCCCCTGTTGCTCTCTCAACCCACTATCAAAATCGGAATATGTATTTATCCTGAAGAAATCTGATTATCTATGAAGCTCTTTCGCAGATGTCCAGTAGAGGTGGGTCGGAAAGTTACAACAACGAGCGACACAAAAAAACTATTGGAGTGCAAAGTATATGAAAGAAAAGTACATCGCAAAAAATAAATATGTAAAATAGATACAATATTTAAATTCAAATTGTATAGGTACACTAATTCCCAAGCTTGAGCAAGCAGCAAAAAATAGCAAGAACTGTCCCAGACCACACCAAGATCACATACAATCCCTCCATAAAAATGCACTAACAACTTCTACCCTACAAACAACATAAATGCCAGGCACCTGCGAGAACTAAGTGGTACATTTGATGTTTTGTTACTTTATTTGAAAGTTACGATTTATATTTATCGCATTAAAAAGTCGTTCAAGAGGGGAACATTTTGGGGACGAAACGTAGTTCAGATTTTAATATGGGAGTAAGTCAATGGGAAAACGAGTTTTGCCTCTCGAGCAATTGTCTCGAAATGTATCTCGCTCGTTCAGTGAGACGCGTATGTGTCGTGACAATCTAATTTGTAGAAGGCGGGGTGCTGATTCGCTCAGCGCGTTCGTCGCTTTCATTGGTCAAGCGATTACATGCAAAGATGGTGGCTGAGTACATGTTCTCGGCTAACGCTTCTTGAAAGAGTGCAGTAAAGTCGAATATGTTTTGACTCTTTTTTTCGGAAAAAAATGTTACGAGGTCGCACTAATCGATGTCTGCCTGTACAAGGTAATCGTATCTCTCACAGCATCCTCCATGCGTCCAGCATCTTCGCGATTTGGTACAACCCCTTTTAGCAATCCCGGGGCACTTACAGCGGCACAATGGCTGGGTACAGAGAGTTCCAAACCAATTGGGGCAGCAGAGGAGAAAGAGCAACTTCCTAAAGGCAAAGGTTAAATGGATGTACATGGATGTACATCTGCCACGACGCGGATGTGGGGCTGAATTATTTCTTGAGACTATACGATTCATGATAATCATATTAATTATGATTAACACATTTAATGAAAGTTTGGATGAAAAACCTTTGCGAACAGGTATTGATCCTAAGCATTTCATGCAAGCAGCCAAATAAACTTTGGGATGCAACGCAACTAAAATTAGCAGTATGCTGAGTCCTTGTCTCACTTCGCTCAGATGCATCCACAACTGCAAGACCAAGACCGCAGTAACTCATCCATTGTCTCTGATGGCCGTGTGCTTGAACTGCAAGGCCAGTGACGTTGTGACATACTGTTGGAAGCTGTATGATCATGAAGTACTTCACAGTTATTTCCACACGCTCACAGACACAGGTAAACCCCACCCTCTGTGCGTCTCAGGAGAGACACTCTCCGTCTGTATCTCAGTAGAAAAATTCTCCCTCTGGGTCTCAGTAGGGACATTCTCCCTCTCGGTCTCAGTAGAGACACTCTCCGTCTGTGTCTCAGTAGAGACACTCTCCCTCTAGGTCTCAGTAGAGACACTCTCACTCTGTGTCTCATTAGAAACACTCTCCCTCTGGGTCTCATTGGAGACGCTCACTCTGTGTCTCAGTACAGACATTCTCCCTCTGGGTCTCAGTAGAGACACTCTCCCTCTGGGTCTCAGTACAGACACTCTCCCTCTGGGTTTCAGTACAGATACTCTCTCTCTGTCATAGTAGAGACACTCTCCCTCTGGGTCTCAGTACAGACACTCTCTCTCTCTCTCTGTCATAGTAGAGACACTCTCCCTCTGGGTCTCAGTAGAGACACTCTTCCTGTGGGTCTCAGTAGAGACACTCTCCCTCTATGTCACAGTAGAGACATTCTCCCTTTGGGTCTCAGAAGAGACACTCTCCCTCTGGGTCTCAGTAGAGACACTTTCCTTTATAATTGTGTGCTCTTGTATTTCCCTTCAGGTGTCCTTTCTAGTGGCCTGGAAGTGAAGAGTAATTCATTGCTTAGTGGACTTGTCCTCGTAATCAAAGTGGAAGTCACAATCTCGAGAAGGTCTTCAACTGCCGAGTTTAACTTGACAACAAACTTCCCCCCTTACAATGGCAGCTGTCATAACAAAGAACGAGAAGGTGCGTGTGTGCTTGTGTGCATAGCTGACAACACGCCCCGCTGTACACCTGGTGACCTGAATTTTAATTACACTCAAGGCTGAGATCAGTGGAAATACTTAAACCTGTCGAAAACCTCCCTGTAAGGTTGACTTGGCTGACTGTTCCTGCAGGCATCGCCAGCATGACACTCTTTACGATCATATGCGATGGCTGGCTGGATGAGGGTGACGCGCTGCTCCGGAATAACGTGGTAGATCTGGATCTGGGATTCTTCTACCAGGTGTCCACGTTAGAAGGGCAGCGTGAACGTATTGTGCACACGAGCTGGATTAAAGATATGCAGAATATCCTCCTTCCGGTCGGCGATCCACTCAACGATTACTGTCTCCCACTGATCGTCTATGTCTGTGACATCTACACAGACTGTTCCATCTGGCAATCATCTGTGAAGGTTGGTGCTGAACTAAGCCTCTAGGATTCACAGCTCAACCAACTCAAAGCGGTCAATGACACGTCATGAAAATATATATTTGTATCGTTAAAAAATACATCACAGCAAGTGCAGCTAACACTTATCACCTTATTGCACTTGGGCACCAGCAGTGTGTTAAATTGGCAGAGTGCTCTGCCATGGTGCTCCTAAAAGACGGAGTGTAGCTCTTATTGAACGGTGGGTGATGTAATGCACACACTCAGCCAATGATTGCGCCTGTTCTGTCTGTGAACCGAGCATTCATAGGAAGCTATGGCGCCTTCGATTGGCAGAATTCTGACATGCCAAATTAATACTCTTTGGTTCTTTCGGTAAAGTCACGTAGAAATAAAAAAATATATATTAATGTTATTTATTTATGTAATATTTCTACGTGACGTTACCGAAAGAACCAAAGAGTAATTCCTGCAGTCACGAAAGCTCAAAATCAAGTTTGATGCCAAACTAATGTTCAGTGATGCAGCTTCCAAAACCATTAGCCCCTTAGAGGTGAGTCAAACCTGTCATTAGATTCGCCACCACCCGACATAGCCAATTAGTAAGGTTTGTCACGTAAACAAAACATGCCAATCAGTAACCAGTTCAGCACACTTGTGTGTTGGAGAATAAACCCACAACATCTAAAATTCGAGTACGACGTTTCGTCAGTAATTACAACCATCATCAGGCGACAGCCAGAGTTGTGGAGAAATCATGTTAATCATCCCACCCACCTTTGGCCTTCCCAGCTGATTGGCTCACAAGTTACGACCGAAACAGGAGGATTTCTTCATTACTTTGGCTGTTGCCTGATGATGCTAATTGTAATTACTGGTGAAACGTCGTACTCATATTGCAAGTGTTGTGGGTTTACTCTCCAACACATCGGTGTGCTAAACTCGTCACGAATTGGCATGTTTTGTTTGCGTAACAAACCTTACTAATTGGCTGTGTTGGGTGGTGGCGGGTTTAACGACACATTTATATTTATGCGACCGAACCCAAAACAATCCCTTTATTATGAATAATTTTGGTCGCGAAAGCCTACTACGTGTTAATTAGAAGAGACACAATACATCTAATACTCTGCTGTATAAGAAACGTATTTTACAGCTGTTAAACCGCACGATTGGAACTGTCAAAGTAGAAATGTTGAATAATGGACGATACGTTTCTTTGATACCCTGAATAGCCAAGCAGTGCTGATGATTTCCACGTGTGATTAATCTTGACGCAGGCCCACCCGCCGAATATGAGTGAGTTCGAGAACTTAGCCAGCAACATCGCACCGCCCGACGGGATGTTATGGATGTCAATTGCAACCAACAACAGTAAGATAGCCATCGAAGCGATGCAGACCTACGCTACAGTATTTTCGACACAGAACGACACGTCCACACAGCAGGTGAGCCATTTTCACTGGCCTCTGGGAAGACAATGTTCCGATATGCACAAGGGATCTCTGTCTTCTTGGTTCTTTCGGTAAAGTCACGTAAAAGGGAAATAATAAAATAATAAAAATAAAACATAATAAAATAAAATTCTCACGACGTTTCGGCCACAACACAAGCAGCCGTCCTCTGAAAGACAGCGCTCCAATGAACACTGCTAAGCTTGGCAGCGTATTTTAAGCTGGGTTGGAGGAGAAAAGCGCCTTGACAAAGGAGTTTACATATCAACAGAATAATTTAGCATTGAATAAGCTGTATTAATGTGAGAGAATTAGCAGGATGTTAAAGTCAGAAATTAGCATGTAACTGGGAGATGAGCATGATGTTAATGTGAGGAATTAGCATGTAACTGGTCACAGAAGTGGCTATGTTAAAGTCAGAGTTTACATATCAACAGAGGCATTTAGTATATTGACGCAAAAGAACTGCAACCACCCACTATCATACAATAAACCGATGTGAAAGAACTAAATATAAACTACATCAATATAATCAATATACTCAATATAATCTCCAATAAGCTGAGCTACTAACAATAAGTCATTATACATTACACTTCAATGTTTCTTCTTACATCACACGACTATACACCGTATTATAAAGTGCCATAGACAGACCACAACATAGAATTATACACTGCGTTACTATAGACTATAATAATATTAGACTTGTAATATTACACTAAGTATTATTCTACCAACCCTACTGTATACCACACTGCTGTATATTCACTATGCTATTACGATACTATATATTACCTCATTAATATATTAAACATTACACTGTTATACTATTTATTATTATTGTGATTCGGTTCGAGACATGTCGTTTGGTTTCTTCAATGTAACTGCTACCACAGAGGCAACTTAGTTTGTAGATGCCCGGATACTGTATGTCTGGAACCACATCTTTTACAGATGGGACCAGATCACGGATTTTATGTACTGTGTTGAATCGGACCTGGATCTTGTGTTTATTCAGGATTTTGGAGATATTTTTGGTGACCCCCGCAATGTAGGGTAAGGTGATGGTTTTGAATGGCTCCTCAAGAGGATCCTTCTTCATGGTTGGAGTGATGGCTTTACGGATTGTGTAGTTGGAGTAACCATTAGCCTTGAGAGCTTGGTGTACATGCTTGAGTTCACTGGCCATGTGTTCCTGGTTGGAGATGCATTGGGCTCTATCGTGTAGAGTCTTGATGAGGGAATTCTTCTGGGATGGATGGTGGTGGGAATCCGGTTTTAAGTAAGCATCCGTATGGGTAGCTTTCCTGTAGACAGAGTGGCTAATTGAACCATCAGGTCTCCTTTTAATTAGGACATCCAAAAAAGGTAGCTTGCCATCCTTTTCGACTTCCATGGTGAATCTGATGGCTGGGTGTATGGAATTGGTCTAGAGCCGGCCGGCCATGTGGCCAGATGAAAAGTGTCATCCACGTACCTCTTCCATAAGGTCGGGCGTAGAGTGGCAGTCTGGATGGCGTCAGTCTCTAATTTCTTCATGAAAACGTTGGCTACAACCGGAGATAGGGGGGAGCTCATTGGGGTGCCCTCAGTTTGTTTGTAGAAAGTTCCATTCCAGGTGTAGTATGTGTTGGTTAAGCAGTGTCTCACCACCTCGGATTGGGAACATGGAGACAATATGACTGCCTCTTCAGCTGCCACTACATCGACCAAATGTAAGGACAACCTGATTTCCAAATTTAACGCAGTGTATAATTCAATGTTGGGGTCTGTCTATGGCAGTTTATAATACGAGGTATAGTCGTGTGATATAAGAAAAAAGATTAGATGGAGGCATATGATAATAATTTTTGCGACATTGAAGTGTAATGTGTAATGACTTATTGTTAGTAGCTCAACTTATTGGAGATTATATTGAGTATATTGATGATATTGATGTAGTTTATATTGTAGTTTTTTATCGGTTCACTATATTATAGTCATTATATAGTGTATTGTATACCCAGTCATTTAATGTTAATATCTCAGCTTATGAGAATATATTGAGTACATTGATTACACTGGTCAACAACAACAAAAATTCTGGCTTGGACTTTGCAGCTGTTTTAGACTTTCAGGGTGCTGATTCCAAATCTGATCTCAGATTTGATATACCCCATTTTCATTAATTTTACCTCACTTATGATTGCAAGTTGTTGCGAGTCAGTGACTGCTTTAGTGTTAAAATATGATGCTGTATTGTTAGTATAGTGTGTTTATAATATCATTTTATGTAGATACTAGCGGTGAGTACCCGGCGTTGCCCGGGTGAAAAAGGCAGACACATGTAGTTACACACGCAAATCCAGTGATACACAAAAATAGAGTTACATGCACAAATGGACTCTCACATACATACATAGACTGAACAACAACCGCCATTCGCCACTAAGTGGCGGTGACGTCACAACAACGCGTGTGCCAGGCTATGTGCACCTTGAGGCCATGTGAAGTGTCGAACGCCCGCTGGCAAGAGGTCACGGGGCAAACCCAGATGGCACAGGTCGACTGACTGAGACGACTGGCTGATGCAGCACCTGTGGCCCCTACTGTGGCAACTTTCTGTGCTTTAGCCACCCGGCGCTCCGCTCGTTGTTGTGAGCGTCGCTCCTCCGCCCTCTGTTGTTGTTGGAGGGTGACTGCCTCCAACTGGCCAGTAGCGTCTTTCAGGAGCCTCCTCCACAGTGGCCGATCTTGACACGGCTGGTACCAGTCATCCGCAAGTCTTCCTGTAGCACATAACTCCCATGTCTTCTCCAGCCGGTGCCGCACCTGTTTAGCCCCCTCGATCCGGCGGAACAAAAGCTGTTTAGGCATGTGGTGGCTGGCCATGCGGGCTACATGACTCAGGCAACGCAGCCTTGCCTGCCGAAGGTCACCGATGGGACTTTGTCCACATCTTTCAAGGATTTGTGAGCTCCTCACACAATGCAGCCTGGTTAAAGCCAGGATGGATCGTAGGCAGGCCAGTCTAAATGTTTCTAACTGGCGAAGATGTTCCATTAGGGGGGTCCAAGTTTCGCAAGCGTAGAGAAGGGAGGGAATGACCGTGGCCGAGAACACCTGAAGCTTCGTATGGAGTGATAGACCAGGTAGCTTCCACACAGCGTTACGCAGCCAATGAAAAGATACTGCAGCTCGACTGATTCGGTGTGAGACCTCTGCTGTTAAACCGGAGCCGGTCATTAGCACACTTCCCAGGGAAACTCTCCACTGTCTCCACAACTGGCCCATCACCAATTGGGAGTTGTGGGGGTGGAGTGTCCGATGGTACAAAATAGCCAGGCAGGTGCTTAGCTTTGGTTGGGCTGATGGTAAGGCCCCACCTGTTGGTGGCAAGCTCCAGGTTCAGCAGCAGCACCTGGAACTCCTCCGAGTGAGCAGCCATTAGCATCGGCATACATAACGTGGTTGAGCAATAGGGAGCCATCCCTTGACCGCACCCGGGCATCGATCAGCCTCCCATTGTATCTGTAGCAGATGGGAATTCTTCCGGTACAGTCATTGAAGGCTCGACGAACTACGTGGTCCAATGTGGGAGCCAGAGGACATTCCTGTTGCACCTTCAAGGTGTAAAGGGAATTGCTCTGACTCACGGCCACGTAGTTAAGACGCGGAGCCGCTCACCATCATGAAGGTCCTTAAGGATGGTGATGAGTGGGTTCGGGACTCGGAAAGCACGAAGAGCAGCCCAGAGGCCAGGCCTACTGATGGTATCATAGGCTTTGAGCAGGTCAATAAAGCACACGCATGGACTAAGATGCACACATGGACCTACAGACACGCAAATAAATGAAGTTACACTGACTAACATGGAGGCATGCACACACAGCGACTAACACACACGCACATGGACTGAGACACACAAACACATCGACTTACAGACAAACAAACATATGGACTCACACATACATAGACATGTACTTGAGATATGCACACATGGAGTTACACACACATATCGACGTACACACATACAGCGACACACACACATACATAGAATGACACACACATTGCCGTACACACACATACACATGTCGACTGTCACACAGACATCCACTTGAGATATAGACACATGGAGTTGCACTCACATATATGGACGTACACACATACAGCGACTCACACACACACCGACTCGCACACAGCAATACGTGGACTAAAATACACATTGACGTAAACACACATATGTACTCACACACACACACATATGGACTAAGACACACATACACATGAACTTACACATACATAGACTGACACACACATAGCCCTACACACACATACACATATGGACTGTGACACACAGATATCTACTTTAGATACACAGACATGGATTAACACACATATGGACTAACACACAGACGCATTGACTTACACACACACATCGAGTGACACACACATGTATAGACTTACACACACATATGGACTGACATACACATCGACATACACGCACACAGATCGACTGACACACACACATGGACTAACACACACACATAAACACTTTTGACGTTGTCCGTTCTAAAAAGACACCCACATGGAGTGAAAGACACGCATGGCTCTACACGCACACACATATGGACTCAAAGACACACACATGGACTCACACACACACACATCGACGGGCACAGGAATCCCCGATGATGGCACAGCTATCAGTATCGCAGTACTACGTATGAGTAAATAGCGTGACGTGAGCGATGAAAACAATATAAATGCATTGAAGAAATAAGCAGAAATCACAGACTGGCAGTAGATCGTGGCAGCGTTATAAAAGCGCATCAAAAAAAGGGGAAATTGAGCAACCCAAAAATCCAAAAAGAGTTTTGTGTACACAAACATAATTATTGTAACATGTCAACTCGTTTCATAATGGTAAACAATGAACCTGAGTAGTTATCTTCACAAAAACAGAATTATTGTAACATCTGTGAACTTGTTTCATAATGGTAAACAATGAAGCTGAGTTTTTATCTGCACACAAACATTATTGTAATGTTTGTCAACTAATGTGTTTAACAATAATAAACAGTGGACTTGAGTTGTTAGCGTAAGAAGCAAAGAAATTTGTACTTAGCATAGGCGTGTTGAGGCCTTGTGCGATGCGTAGCCCCCGTCCTGGCCTACATTTGCGAGGCGCGGAGTTGGCACGTTGCCAAGCTAGGGGCTGGGCCGCTACCCCCTCTCCAACATCCGCCGCCAGTGCAAGAATAATGCTATGTAAGCAGTAAAATATTATTATGTACGGAGTCTGTAGTATAAACTGAACGCATCGTGTTGGGGGGGGGGGGGGGGCGAAGAGGACATGACACTGTGAAGAAATATCCACAGCGTCATGTGTGTACGTGTTGACTGTAAAACGCGTAAAAGAAAATGTCTCCCGTGAGCTCGAGCGAACGCGCATGACTTGGCAGGGTCCGCCCCCCCCCCCCCCCCCCCCACGAAATTGGCGTCACTTGGTACAGTCGATGTCGTGCAATAAGTAAATAATGAATAATAGAAACGGCACAAATGTGTTAATTAAACTACTTTAAAGTTTACGGACGGGAAAACGGAATAGCCTATACCCACCACGGGGCTTAGGGCGTGCCGCCTGGCAAATTATTTCAGTGTTAAACACCACCGTCCGAGAGCCAAATCCCCCGCAAGCGCGAGCGCACGGAGACTTTTATATATAAGAAGATCCACATTTATTTAATATTTTTCTTCTGCAGTTTTATTGAAAATGCAATATTTGATATCTAAAAAACCTGATGTGATAGACAAAAATTTCCTTAAAACCGTTGGAATACCTTATGCCAGAAAAAAGTGTGTTGACCAGTGTTATATTGATGTAGTTTATATTTAGTTCTTTCACATCGGTTTATTGCATGGTAGTGGGTGGTTGCAGTACTTTAGCGTCAATATACTAAATGCCTCTGTTGATATGTAAACTCTGACTTTAACATAGCCACTTCTGTGACCAGTTACATGCTAATTCCTCACATTAACATCATGCTCATCTCCCAGTTACATGCTAATTTCTGACTTTAACATCCTGCTAATTCTCTCACATTAATACAGCTTATTCAATGCTAAATTATTCTGTTGATATGTAAACTCCTTTGTCAAGGCGCTTTTCTCCTCCAACCCAGCTTAAAATACGCTGCCAAGCTTAGCAGTGTTCATTGGAGCGCTGTCTTTCAGTCAGCTCTGTCTTCACCTGAGGACGGCTGCTTGTGTTGTGGCCGAAACGTCGTGAGAATTTTACTTCATTATGTTTTATTTTTATAATTTTATTATTTCCCTTCTACGTGACTTTACCGAAAGAACCAGGAAGATGAATTCCTGCACTCACGAAAGCTTTAAATCGAAATTTAAGGGATCTCTGCTTTAAAGTGAATAATTAATGGCTTTGATATTCCTCAAAGATACTTATGTAACCATCAACCCCATCAGATCATCAACAGGCTGATGCACATATGTGCTTCATGAATGGAAAATGACAGACAGACCACAGAAGTGCGATTGTGGCCATGCAACCAAAACTATGGACTATATAATAAACCATTGTAGTCTGTCCTCCTTCATTAGAAGAGGGACAGCAAAACAATACAACACAACCTCGACATTGGCATCATGCTCCTTCCATTCGCAATTACAGAATATGTGTTTAACCTGGCCTGTTTATTCCTGCTTTTTTCCCTTTTGTAGACTACTTCACACAACATGTTATTGGCCATGTCCCAGTCAACGGGTCAGTTCTACATACCTGTGGACATACTTCAGTACTCAGGCACAGTCGCGACTCTCACCAGAAATGTCGCGGTCGTGAACCAATCACTGTGGGTGAGTAAGTAAGTGGCAGATTACGGACAAGAGCTGACACGCAGAAAAACGCTCTCCCGTGTAGCCCACACAAGGCTTTCGGGGCAAATGCTCTGAGTGAGCAGCATCCATGAAGGCTGACATTGTTCACCTGTAACAGGATGGTGTGGCCATCGTCATACCCCCGGATGTCTTAGTCTCACAAGTGCTAATGTTTACACACACCGCACCAGGTGCTCGTTTTTGAAGCTGAGTCAACTCACAACTCATGGGGAGGCCTAGCACCGGTTCATATTTTTCTTCATCGCTGTTGGCCGTGAGCGAGAATCGAACACATGTCACCTGGAGATGATAGCGCTAACCAAGACACCACCTATACTCTTTGGTTATTTCGGTAAAGTCACGTAGGTATAAAATAAAATTAATTAAATCACGATGTTTTGGGCGCTATACAAGCGTCTGTCATCAGGTGGGACAACCACAGCAAGAAACAATTGCTGAAGTGGGCAAAAGGGCTGCTGCAACAAGAGACTATATAGGTAAGAGAGGGGGGAGGAGCAAAGGGGGGAAAGATAGAGAGGGCAGGGGTGTGGGGTAGGGGAGTGCTGCGAAAACGTTTTGAGGACGAGCAGACAATGCTGGGGGGGGGGGGGGAGGGAAGTGGGCGGGGCTGGGGGTGGGGAGCTGAAGCAACAAAAACAAAATGCCAGGGGGGGAGGGAAGTGGGCGGGGCTGGGAGTGGGGAGCTGAAGCAACAAAACAAAAATGCCGGGGGGGGAGGGAAGTGGGCGGGGCTGGGAGTGGGGAGCTGAAGCAACAAAACAAAAATGCCGGGGGGGGAGGGAAGTGGGCGGGGCTGGGAGTGGGGAGCTGAAGCAACAAAAACAAAATGCCGGGGGGGGGGGGGTGGGGAGTGAGTGGGGAACTCAAGTAACAGGAGATGTGGAAATGAAGGCAACACCATAAAGAAGGTAAGGTTTTACCAGGTTAATAACATCCTTCCGATGATTGCTTAATTTGTATCCATCTTCTCGGTTGAAGTTATTTCTGGATGGCTTCATTAACAAACCTTTGATAGTAGCCCGAAGGTTTTCAGAGTACCTTGTTTTCAGAAGAAAAAAAATATCACGAGAGCCCACAGCGTTATAGCAATGGTCAGCCACGGCGGATGTATTGATTCTGCCGTGTTTCAGATCTGACTTGTGCTCGCGAACATGGTGACTGCAGGGATTCATCTTCTTGGAATCTTTCGGTAAAGTCACGTAGAAGGGAAATAATAAAATAATAAAAATAAAACATAATAAAATAATTCTCACGACGTTTCGGCTACAACGCAAGCAGCCGTCCTCAGGTGAAGAATGAAACACCACCAAGCTTGGAGCGTATATTTAAGCTGGGTTGGAGGGGCAAGAAGAGCGCCTTGACAAAAGAATTTGCATATCAAGAGGAATTTAGCATATTTATGGGAAATGCGTAGGAGGTGGGCGGAGGGTTTTAAAGTCATATTATGCCTGTGCATTATGCAGGATTAGCAGCATCAAAGAGAGGGGATAGGGGGAAGCATTAACAAAGGGAAGGAATGTTAATAGTATGTAGATGCAGTTACTAAACCACCACGTAAAAAACTAAAGTATAAACTACATAGTATCATCAGTATACTAAATATGCTCTCCAATAAGCTGAGCTACTAACAGTAAGTAATACATGACAATTCTCTGTCGCAAAAAATATAATATGCTTCCAGCTAAACTGTTTTCTCTTAAATCACACGGGTCTACCCCGTACTATATACTACCATAGACAATCCCAAAATTAAATTATATACTGTATTACTATACACCAGCGGTCGGGAACCTATGGCTCGCGAGCCATATATGGCTCTTTCGGTGACGGCATATGGCTCCCAGACAATTTTGAGTTGAAAAAAATAAAATAAAAAATCAGTTTGGAACTGATTTTAAAATACTTGTGATATTGCTTAATAATACTGTGTCATTTTTAAGTAAACATAAATTAGTTTTGAAGATAAATTCCACGGGTCACGGGGCCTCAACGCCTGCATGAAGCTCAACCTTACCACGTATGAACCAGACTACAAGGCCATCAGCAAAACCACGCGACACCAGAAGTCGCATTCAAAGTAAGACATATTTAATTTATTATACGTTAAAAATACTATATGGCTCTCAATGCAATATATTTAGAAATATTTGGCTTTTATGGCTCTCCCAGTCAAAAAGGTTCCCGACCCCTGCTATACACACTCTATACCTTCGACTACAATATTACCCTAAGTATTATTCTACCCACCTTACTGTATACCACACTGCTGTATATTCGCTATACAGTTACGATACTGTATATTATCTTATACACCGCATCAAACACTACAATTGTATACTATTTATACAATCTGTTATACACTATACCATTGACCGTCGTGTGAAAGATACTAAGAAGAAGCAACGAAACATGTCAATGGGAGAGCGGTGACAGGAGACCCGCAGCGGAGCAAATAATCCATTCCCTGTGGAGAACACAAGATACACAGTCAATGCCAGTGAGTGGACTGCGGTCTGAAAGTCACCGTAAACGTGAACACAATCAGTTAAGATCCGAAATGGTTTATTACGTCCTTCCAATGATTGCTGAGCCAGAATCCATCTTCTCGGTTGAAATTGTCTCTGTGTTTGTATATGCGGATCGCCTCATGAACGAATGTCTCATGGTAGCCAGATGGCTTGCAGAGAACCTCTGTCTTGGAGAAGTCAATGTCATGTGAGCCCACTGAATTGTAACAGTGATCTGCCACGGCTGAGGTGTTTGTCCTACCGTGTTTCAGGTCTGCTTTATGTTCACGGATGCGATCCAAGACATGTCGTTTGGTTTCTCCAATGTAACTGCTACCACAGAGGAAACTTAGTTTGTAGACGCCAGAGTAATGTATGTCTGGAACCACATCTTTTACAGACGGGACCAGATCACGGATTTTATGTACTGTGTTGAATCGGACCTGGATCTTGTGTTTAATCAGGATTTTGGAGATATTTTTGTGACCCCAGCAATGTAGGGTAAGGTGATGGTTTTTAAAGGCTCCTCAACAGGATCCTTCTTGATGGTTGGAGTGACGACTTTGCGTACGTGTTTGAGTTCACTGGCAATGTGTTCCTGATCGGAGATGCATTGGGCTCTATGGTATAGAGTCTTGATGAGGAAGTTCTTCTGGGATGGATGGTGGTGGGAATCCGGTTTTAGGTAAGCATCCGTATGGGTGGCTTACCTCTACACAGAATGGCTCATTGAACCATCAGGTCTCCTTTTAATTAGGACATCCAAAAAGGGTAGATTGCCATCTTTTTCGACTTCCATGGTGAATCTGATGGCTGGGTGTATGAAATTGATTTGGTCGAGGAATTGGTCTAGAGCAGGCCGGCCATGTGGCCAGAAGACAAAAGTATCATCTCCGTACCTCTTCCATAAGGTCGGGCGTAGATTAGCAGTCTGGATGGCGTCAGTCTCAAATTTCTCCATGAAAACGTTGGATACAAACGGAGATAGGGGGGGGCCCATTGGGGTTCCCTCAGTTTGTTTGTAGAAGGTTCCATTCCAGGTGAAGTATGTATTGGTTAAGCAGTGTCTCACTAGGGGGGTACCCCAGTATTCAGCCCTTGATAAACCAAGTCTTCAATGATTGCGATGGTGTCAGGTACAGGAACTTTGTGAATAAAGAAACCACATCAAAACTGACAAGCAGGTCATCTGGGGACAGGGAAATTACCTTGATTGTCGATACCAGGTCAGTAGAGTTTAGTACCGCAGAGGTGGTTTTTCCAGTGAAAGGCCGCAGGATTTCAGACAAAAATCGAGCCAGTTTGTAAGTGGGGGAGTTGATAGTAGAGACAATGGGACGAAGAGGTGTATCTTCTTTTTGTATCTTTGGCAGGCCATATAATCTTGGTGACTTGGCTGCAGAAGGTTTCAACGAGAACTGTTTGGTTTTATCAATTAATGCGGTTAAATCAGAAGTTATTTTGTTGGTTTTAATGACGAGGCTGTTGGTGGGGTCTCTTTTTATTTTTAAATCCTTTATTAAATCCTTTATATTAAGTTTACTTGCTTGCGTGCTTGCTTGCTTGCTTAGGACCGTGCAAATCTTTCGGTCGTTTTTTAATCCACTTCCCGTGATCCAATCGAGCTGACATTTTCCACACAGACTCGTTGTGCCAGACAATTATTGTTCGTGAAAAAAAAATTCCCAAAATTTTACACTTTTAGGCAAAAAAAATGTATTTTACATATATTCAAATAGAACGCATTCATGGCTTTGGCTGAACGTCAGAGTGTAAGAGCCCAGAGCGTAACCCCTCCACAGGCCGTGGCGGAGTAGCGCAGTTGGTAGCGCCCTCGCTTCCCATGCCAAAGGTCGCGGGATCGATCCCCGCGTCCTCCACAGGCGAATATATTTTAAAATCCTTTATTAAATCCTTTATATTAAGTTTGCTTGCTTGCTTGCTTGCGTTCTTGCTTGCTTACGACCGTGCAAATCTTTCGCTCGTTTTTTTACCCACTTCCCGTGATCCAATCGAGCTGACATTTTCCACACAGACTCGTTGTGTGTGACAATTAATTTTCGTGAAATTTTTTTCCAAAATTTTACACTGTTTAGAGAAAACAAATTAAATATTTAATTACCAATTGCTTAATACTGGCAGACAATCATCTGACCCATAGATTGCAGCCATCTCAAGCCAGAGGACGAGAGAACTCTAGCCGCCACGCATATAAAGGATTTAGAGTGAAAAACTTTGTCTTTACGGGTTTACTTGTATTAAGTTCGCTTGCTTGCTTAGGACCGTACAAATCTTTCGGTCGTTTTTTAACCCACTTCCCGTGATCCAATCGAGCTGACATTTTGCACACAGACTCGTTGTGCGTGACAATGCATTTTCATGAAAAAGAATTTCCAAAATTTTACACTGTTTAGGGGAAAAAATTAAATATTTAATTACCAATTGTTTAATGCTGCCAGACAATCATCTGACCCATAGGTGGCAGCCATCTCAAGCCAGATGACGAGAGGACTCTCGCCGCCCTGATGCCACGCATATAAAGGATTTATAGTGAAAAACGTTCTTTTTACGGGTTAATTTTTGTATAGCTGCCATCGTTGAGTAGTTCTTGAATTTAGTTGTTGTATTATATTTTGTCCATTATGACAATGGCATTGCCTTTGTCGGCTGAGAGGATGACAATGCCATCCCTCTTTTTTAATTGAGCTAATTCAAAACGCTCATCTTTGCTGACGTTACTAGCTGGCATCTTAGCGTTTTTGAGGGTTGCAGCGATTTCAGATCTTGCTACGTCTGCATCGATGTGACCCAGGTCCTTGAGAGCCACATCTACTCGGGCAATGATATCATTAACTGGTATGTGTCTAGGTGTGACTGCAAAGTTTTGTCCTTTAGCTAAAACGGATTTCAGACCATCAGAAATAGAACTATCAGCTCAGCTTATTGAGAGTATATTTAGCATACTGATGATACTATGTAGTTTATACTTAACCGAAAGAACCAAATAATAATAACAATCTACCCTTTTTGGATGTCCTAATTAAAAGGAGACCTGATGGTTCAATGAGCCACTCTGTTTACAGGAAAGCCACCCATACGGATGCTTACCTAAAACCGGATTCTCACCACCATCCATCCCAGAAGAATTTCCTCATCAAGACTCTATACCAAAGAGCCAAATGCATCTCCGACCAGGAACACATTGCCAGTGAACTCAAACACGTACACCAAGCTCTTAAGGCTAATGGTTACTCCGACTACATAATCCGCAAAGCCATCACTCCAACCATCAAGAAGGATCCTGTTGAGGAGCCTTTCAAAACCATCACCTTACCCTACATTGCTGGGGTCACAAAAAAGATCTCCAAAATCCTGATTAAACACAATATCCAGGTCCGATTCAACACAGTACATAAAATCCGTGATCTGGTCCCGTCTGTAAAAGATGTGGTTCCAGACATACATTACTCTGGCGTCTACAAACTAAGTTTCCTCTGTGGTAGCAGTTACATTTGAAAAACCAAACGACATGTCTCGGACCGCATCCGTGAACATAAAGCAGACTTGAAACACGGTAGGACAAACACCTCAGCCGTGGCAGATCACTGTTACAATTCAGTGGGCTCACGTGATATTGACTTCTCCAAGACAGAGGTTCTCTGCAAGCCATCTGGCTACCATGAGAGATTTGTTCATGAGGCGATCCACATATACAAACACAAAGACAATTTCAACCGAGAAGATGGATTCTGGCTCAGCAATCATTGGAAGGACGTAATAAACCATTTCGGATCTTAACTGATTGTGTTCACGTTTACGGTGACTTTCAGACCGCGTTCCACTCACTGGCATTGACTATATATCTTGTATTCTCCGCAGGGAATGGATTCTTTGTATCCGCTGCAAGTCTCTGACCACTACTCTCCCATTGACATATTTCGTTGCTTCCTCTCAGTATCTTTCACGCGACGGTCAATGGTATAGTGTATAGCGGATTGTATAATAATAAATAGTATAAAATTGTAATGTTTAATACAATGTATAAAGTAATATATAGTATCGTAATTGTATAGTGAATATACAGCAATGTGATATACAGTAGGGTGGGTAGATTAATACATAGTGTAATATTACAATGTATAAGGTATAGGGTGGGTATAGTAATACAGTATATCATTTAATGTTTAGTTTGTCTATCTATATATATAAAATCGCAAATCTGTCTGTCTGTCTGTGTGTGTGTGTGTCGCCGGACCATACGCACTTTCATTGGACGCCGGTTGCCCCTGCCAACGGCTAGCGATGCCTTCGCCGCTTTCATTGGACGGCGGTTGCCCCTGGCAACGGCTAGCGATGCCTTCGCCGCTTTCATTGGACGGCGGTTGCCCCTGGCAACGAGTAGCGACGGGCCGCGGGGTCGACGCCATTTTTTATTCCCGTTAAAAATAGGCGCACGCATTAACACGCGACTCTTAGGTCAATTCATCTCAGTTTTACGTCCTCTTCACTCCCCTCCCACCCCAATGTGTTCAATTACTATTATAGGCTCCGTAGATAATAAAATAATAGCGATTAGACAGTATTATTTTAGCGCGGGGGGGGGGGGAAACGGCACCCGTACCCTGCCTCTGCCGGGTGGGCAATTTAGGCGAGGCCGGAGGCTCTGCACGTTACTAGGCCTCGACACCCACCACGCCACTCTGAGGTAAATTCATCAAAGTTTCACATACTTTTCACTCCCCCCCCCCACCACAATGTGTGCAATTAATATTACTTTTCAACCCAACGCGCCAACAATCTATTCTTTAAATGTTGACTGTACAAATAGTCATTAAGCTGGGTGAGCGTACTGCCAGTCTATAATCTAGACTGTAGCCTGCTTATTAAATTGGGTGAGTGTACTGCCAGTCTATAATGTAGACTGTAGCCTGCTTATTAAGCTCGGTCAGCGTACTGCCACTCTCTCATGTAGACTGTGGCCTGCTTATGAAGCTGAGTGGGTGTACTGCCAGTCTGTAATGTAGACTGTAGCCTGCTTATTATAATCGATTCTTTCAATGCTCTTTGTACAAATTGTCATTAAGCTGGTTGAGCGTACTGGCAGTCTATAATGTATACTGTAGCCTGCTTATTCAGCTGGGTGGGTGTACTGGCAGTCTATTATGTAGACTGTAGCCTGCTTATTATAATCGATTCTTTAAATGTTCTTTGTACAAATAGTCACTAGGCTGGTTGAGCGACCCCAGTTCGATTCTAACTCACGCCCACCACCGCTGACGATTATTTGAACCGGACCTGGCCCGCCCCTAGGTAGACTCAACATCGTCACTGGGGAGACAAAGGCGGCCGGGCGTCGTGGATCCAAGACCTGGGCGAAGCCGGGTATTCAATCTAGTGGCAGTATATAATACGGTGTAGACTCGTGTGATGTAAGAGAATAAAGTTTAGCTGGAAGCACATTATTTTTTTGCGACGTAGAATTGTAATGTATTACTGTTAGTAGCTCAGCTTATTGGAGAGTATATATAGTATACTGATGATACTATGTAGTTTATACTTTAGCTGTTTACGTGGTGGTTTAGTTACTGCAGCTACATACTATTAACATTCCTTCCCTTTATTAATGTTACCCCTACCCCCTCCCTTTGATGCTGCTAATCCTGCATAATGCACGGGCATAATGACTTCAAACCCCCCGCCAAACCTCCTACGCATTTCACAGGTAGTACTAATCGCATATCTGCATTTCCCATAAATATTCTAAATTCCTCTTGATATGCAAATTATTTTGTCAAGGCTCGCTTCCCCCCTCCATCCCAGCTTAAATAGACGCTCCAATCCTGGGGTGAGTCATTCAGACTCTGTCTTCTCGACGGACCTGTTCTCCATCTGAGGACGGCTGCTTGCGTTGTGGCCGAAACGTCGGGAGAATTATTTTTTAATGTTTTATTTTTATTATTTTATTATTTCCATTCTACGTGACTTTACTGAAAGAACCAAGAAGATGAATCCCTGCAGTCACGAAAGCTTTAAATCGAAATTTAAAGGGGAGGATCTAAAACTAAATGAGCAGTCGTTTAAAAAGTTAGGTCTTCTCGTTGCGACCGAGTGTGTAGCAAAAAGAAGGCATCATGCCAGGTGGTGGTCAAAGGATTAAGAGTGGAGCTTATAGGTCAGTTGTCAATTGAGGGAAAGAACGAAAGGCGAGGTGTGGTGGCATCGACAGCACTCACTATGATCATCTCTGAACCTTAACGTTTGGTGTGTATTGGTTTCTATTTTCCTGAAGGATGCTCTGGGGAAGAGTAACCTCTTTGTTGCCGAGACTCTTGGTAATGGGTTGTCATCCCTGAGCAACATCATAGATGTATCGAAAGGTGAGGTCCATATCCTCTTGTACATTGGGAATGTTATCAATTATTTCCCTCACACTGCCATGGGTCATTGCGGCCTTAAAGCTGAGGAAAGGCTGATTTCGGTGATATGGTTTGTAAACGTAATGCGGATGTGATATTTCTCCATTTGTGCCGGGCGTAAAATGTTAAAACGATTATACCTATTGCAAGGCAAACAAACATGCTCTGATTATATATATGCATTGTATTTTATACTGATTGGTCGACAACAGAGACAGCCTTCTTTATGGCCTTGTCTCACCAGTTATTAGACCAGAGAACACCAAAAGTACTAAGGCAATACAAGAACTAAATTAGTAATAGCTCGGGTTGAGCAGCTACATCTATCGGACCTTTTGCTAGTATAAAATTATGATAACACATTTTTTAAAATATATTTGCAATAAAAGTCCCATAGATGTAAAAAAAATTGCCAAATTAGAACATAGCCAAAATGACGCTAAGAATTTAGAAACAATGAAGTGGTCTCACGGCTAAGAGTTTAAAGCGCTGAGCTGGAACGGCTGACTTCGAATCGAGGCTATTGGCTGCCTGTGGTTACATTTGGTTTTCGGGTGCAGTGATTTGATGGCCTTAGCCCGGTCACCATTTACCCCACACACAAACCCCATCACGTTAAGTTTTTGCTCCATTTTAAACTGGCTTCATTCCAACTTTGAGAATGAAAAAGATTGGTTTCACTTTCTTACAATGAATATTACTGTCGTAAGCATTATGAACGCCATTGTGTAGGCTAGAGGTCACTTGAAGCGATCTCAGCAGCAGCTCCTTGGCAACTACTTCTATGGGCCATTATCTAACACGAAGGGTTGCACTGCTCCATGACAGAGATACACATGGATTATTTGCCTTGTGAAATGACAACGATAGCACAATCGAGATACAAGTTGGGAAAAGGAACAACACAGATGAAATAATTTATTAGCATTGACAAATGTCCTTGGTAACCTGGCCATCGATTGCCAATTTTGACAGATCTCACGGAAACGGTTGGCAATCTCTTGGACTCGTCACATATCACGACACAAGCCAGCCTCAGCGACACCTCGGAACAAGTACCCTTCATGTCGTTTTGGCACATTATATTACTGTTCACACGCTGCATGCACACGTGTTGTACACACATTGTTATTCACATGCTACATGTGTTGTACCGGGTATTCCCATGCAGTCTCTATTCAAAGTCATAACCAAGGTCAACACTGATGGGGCGGTGACGTGGCCTAGCAGCAGGGCATTCACCGCTTGTTGCAGAGATTTACGGTCCAGCGGCTGCCCTGATTAATAATGTGGGTACAATAACCGCCATAATAATACAATGCACTTACCGCTTCATATTGGACGTTAAAATCCCATGACGTCATTCACAAGGCCATCGTGTTAGGGTGTCCGGCTCCACGTTTGCCAAATTCGAAAAATTACATCGCAAATTACTCAATTGGGATTACCCAAAGTAGCATTCATCACCCCTCTACTGGCAGACTGATGCCCGGGGTCACTCTTGCAAACGAGAGCACGCTCGTTTTTTAGTTCTCACCTAAAACCTATTAAACTTGAAAATTTTACTCGGGACACTTGTTTAAATTAGCACTGTGAGCATTCTCCACGTAATATTTCATCTGACAACAAGAAGGCATATAATGAGTAGGCAGTTATGCTCATTTTAACACGTAGGCTTTCGCGACCAATGTTATTCATAATCAACGTTTTTGGGTTTAGATCGCGTTTATTTATAAATGTGTCGTAACCCTCCACCACCCGACACGGCCAATCAGTAACAATGTGTCACGTTGACAAAGACAAATAGTTCACTGCTTTAGCCCACCGGTGTGTTGAAGCCACAACATTTACAATTTGAGTACGACGTTTCGCTGGTAATTGCAACCAGCATCATGGGATTTTAGCGAATTGCCCGATGATGCTGGTTGCAATTACTAGCGAAACGTCGTACTCAAATTGTAAATGTTGTGGCTTCAACACACCGGTGGGCTAAAGCAGTGAACTATTTGTCTTTGTCAACGTGACACATTTTTACTGATTGGCCGTGTCGGGTGGTGGAGGGTTACGACACATTTATAAATAAACGCGATCTAAACCCAAAAACGTTGATTATGAGTTATGCTCATGGTACGCACATTAAACGGCACATGTTATAGTCATGTATGGTAAGCATCGCTTGAGCCTGTACACTGCATGGATGGGTGGCAGGAATGCGTGGCGATCGGTTATGGGCCACGTGGTTTTGTTGTGGGCATCAGGGGATGACTACAGAAACCCCACCATTATCTCTGCTCGCCACGCGTCACCCTGGCATGGCTGTTCAGACCACAGCGGGTGTCGCGATGATGGAAGACGTGCGGCGTACTTTGTGTAGTGGCAGGCTTGGATTGGCATTGATCGTTTCCAATAGCTTTCTGTCGGATGTAAGGGGGAGCAATGTTACTCAGGGCTGGAATCCATGGTAGAGGGTTTGGTCAAAGAGTTCCTGAGATGATGCACACAGCTGCTTATTAATATAAATTAAGGCTTCCATTTTGAAGCCCCCCCCTCCTCCTCCTCCTGCCACGCTTCCTCCTTTTCCTCCTTGAGTCTATGTTTCACATCTGTTCTTTTACAGGCCATGAATCTGTTCAAGCTTGCATACAAAACCATACAGTCCTTCGGGAATGCTGTCAACACGCAGCAGATGCCTGGCACGCCGGCCAGAGAGATGGAGCACAAAAACCTCTCCGTGACCCTGGTGACGGCCAGTCATGCAGACACGGCTGATATAAATGTAACAGGGAAGTACGGAGGCGTCGCCTTCGGCCGGAACCTGCGCGACCCCAACAACACGGAAAAAGTAGCCTTGCAGGTATGCATCGCCACGCGCCCCTTTCTCACCGATTGACTGCCCGCACTGGGGCCGTTGCCGAGCCAGCCTGTGTGCAGCTCTGGAGGCGCGAGGTTGATTTCTCCACTGGAGAATCCGAGTGACACAAGACTCAAGGTGATTTTTGAGGCTGGAATCGCACGGGTTTGTTTCCGGCTTGGTATGGAAAATATAAGAGTGGAAAACCACCTTGGCTTGGATGTATCAGTAGATAAAGGGGGTAACTACCCCAGTTCGCCCAGGATAGTCTTGCTGATTCTCACTACTCATTATCATTCTCTCATTGCTAATCAATCATCAGAAAAGCTTTGTTTTCTGTTTTATGTCGATATCTTGCTCTGTAACTCCAAACGTTTATCACCGCTCCTACCACTGCACATGGCACAAATTCTGTTTAAATTGGAATCCTGTTGCTGCTGTCACATTTGGGGTGCAGCACCCAGTTCCTATCTTGCTGCTGCACCGGATAGGACTCAGAGTGAAGTAGTTATGGCGAATGATGTTCCAGCATTCGCCGATATACTACGACCTTTCGCTCACCGGCAGTCAATTGTCCTCCTAATTGCTTTGCTATTGCTACTAGCAAGGGTGGTTACTGTTCCCGTGAACTTCACTCGTAGATTTTTCCACCAATTATGAAGACTGTCTGCCATATTCTATGGTTACTCTTTGGTTCTTTCGGTAAAGGTACGTAGGTAAAAAAAAAATAGATCACGACGTTTCGGTCGCGACACAAGCGGTCGTCATCATGTGGAAAAAATTGAGGATAGCTGCTGAAGCAGACTGTTTTAAAGGGTTGAAATGGGTGTAGCCAAAGAGTCATAAACGAAGTGGGCGGGGCTATTGAAGTCAATGTGAAAAATTAGCATGTTAATGTATGATCGGAGGGCGACCTACACAACAAGGGCACGGAAGTGGCTGTGTTAATGTGAGAGATTAGCATGTTAATGTAAGATCGGAGAGGGGCCTACACAATGTAAGAGATTAGCATGTTAATGTAAGATCGGGGAGTGGCATCTAAGACGGCGACGCGGAAACATCACAGCCAGTTATGAACGAGGGACAACACCACATCGAGGGAAGGAGAGAGAGACACACACCGAGAGGCATACCCACAGAGAGAGAGAGAGAGAGACACACACACAGCGATACATACATAGAGAGACACATATAGAGAGACACACAATGACAGAAAGAGACACACACAAAGAGACAAGAGAGAGACACACACACAGAGACACATAGAGAGACACACCGAGAGAGACACAGAGAGAGAGAGACGCACAGAGAGAGGCACACACAGATATAACAACAACTGCCATTTGCCACTAAGTGGCGGTGACATCACCACGACACTTGTGCCAAGCTATGTGCACCTTGAGACCAGGGCTGCGTTGGCATGCCTAAACAGCTTTTGTTCGGCCGGATCCAAGAGGCTAAACGGGCGTGGCACGGGCTAGAGAAGAGATAGAGTGATGTGTTACAGGAGGATGTGGAGCTGAGTGGATTTGCCGATAACTGGTACCAGCGGTGTCAAGATCGGCCTCTGTGGAAGAGGCTTGTGAAGTACACTACGGGGCAGTTGGAGGCAGTCGCCCTCCAACAACATCGGAGGGCGGAGGAGCAACGCTCGCAACAATGAGCGCAGCACCGGGTGGCTAAAGCACAGCAAGTTGGCACAGTAGGGGGCACAGGTGGTGCATCAGCCAGTCATCTCAGTCAGTCATCTCAGTCAGTCGACCCGTTTCACCTAGGTCTGCCCCATGACCTCCTGCCAGCGGGCGTTCGACACTTCACGTGGCCTCAAGGTGCATATAGCTTGGCACAAGCGTCGTGGTGACATCACCGCCACTTAGTGGCGAATGGTCGTCACGAAAGCTTCAAATAAAGATATTCTATGGTTATTTCGGTAATGTCACGTAGATAAAATAGATAAATTGAGCTCTATCGTGTAGTATTTTTGATGAGATAATTCTTCTGGGGTGGATGGTGGTGGGAATTAGGTTTTAGGTAGGCGTCAGTATGGGTTACTTTCCTGTAGACAGAATGGCTCATTGAGCCATCTGATCTCTTTTTAATTAGGACATCCAAGAAAAGTAGCATGCCATCCTTTTCTACCTCCATGGTGAATTTGATAGCTGGGTGTATGGAATTGATGTGGTTGAGGAATTGGTTTAGAACCGGTCGGCCATGTGGCCAGATGACAGACGTGTCATCTATAGACCTCTTCCACAGGGATGGCCTTAGAGTGGATGCCTGGATGGCGTCCATCTCAAAATTTTCCATGAAAACATTGGCTACAGCCAGAGATGAGGGAGAACTCATTGGGCTGCCTTCAGTTTGTTTGTAGAATGTTCCATTCCAGGTGAAGTATGTGTTGGTGAGGCAGTGTTTCACCAGGGCCGGTAAATCAGCATTCAATCCTTGTTGGACCAGGTCTTCAATGATTGCAATGATATTGGGCACAGGTACTTTGGTGAACAAATAAACTACATCGAAACTTTCGATTTAAAGCTTTCGTGACTGCAGGGATTCATCTTCTTGGTTCTTTCGGTAAAGTCACGTAGAAGGGAAGTAATAAAATAATAAAAATAAAACATAATAAAACAATTCTCACGACGTTTCGGCCACAACGCAAGCAGCCGTCCTCAGGTGAAAACCAGGTCCGTCGAGGCGACAGAGTCTGAATGAAACAGCACACGAGCTTGGAGCATATATATAAGCTGGGCGAATTGACAAAGGAATTTGCATATCAAAAGGAATTTAGCATATTTATGGGAAATGCAGGAATGTGATTAGTACTGCATATGCATGTGCATTATGCAGGATTAACAGCATCAAAGGGAGCTGCAGTTACTGCTGCTGCAGCAGTTGCTGCTGCTGCTGCAGTTTCTGCTGCTGCTGCAGTTGCTGCTGCTGCTGCAGTTGCTGCTGCTGCACTTGCTGCTGCTGCTGCACTTGCTGCTGCTGCTGCAGTTGCTGCCTTATCCATTTTAATATAACACTATGTATTATTCTACCCACCCTAATGTGTATCATACTGCTATATGTTTACTGTACAATTACGACACCATACATTACTCTGCACACTGCACCATGCCAGTGAGTGGAACGCGGTCTGAAAGTCACCGTAAACGTGAACACAATCAGTTAAGATCCGAAATGGTTTATTACGTCCTTCCAATGATTGCTAAGCCAGAATCCATCTTCTCGGTTGAAATTGTCTCTGTGTTTGTATATGTGGATCGCCTCATGAACGAATCTCTCATGATAGCCAGATGGCTTGCAGAGAACCTCTGTCTTGGAGAAGTCAATGTCATGTGAGCCCACTGAATTGTAACAGTGATCTGCCACGGCTGAGGTGTTTGTCCTACCGTGTTTCAGGTCTGCCTTATGTTCACGGATGCGGTCCGAGACATGTCGTTTGGTTTCTCCAATGTAACTGCTACCACAGAGGCAACTTAGTTTGTAGACGCCAGGGTACTGTATGTCTGGAACCACATCTTTTACAGACGGGACCAGATCACGGATTTTATGTACTGTGTTGAATCGGACCTGGATCTTGTGTTTAATCAGGATTTTGGAGATCTTTTTTGTGACCCCAGCAATGTAGGGTAAGGTGATGGTCTTGAAAGGCTCCTCAACAGGATCCTTCTTGATGGTTGGAGTGATGGCTTTGCGGATTGTGTAGTCGGAGTAACCATTAGCCTTAAGAGCTTGGCGTACGTGTTTGAGTTCACTGGAAATGTGTTCATGGTCGGAGATGCATTGGGCTCTATGATATAGAGTCTTGATGAGGGAATTCTTCTGGGATGGATGGTGGTGGGAATCCGGTTTTAGATAAGCATCCGTGTGGGTGGCTTTCCTGTAGACAGAGTGGCTCATTGAACCTTTGTCAATGCGCCCAGCTTATATATATGCTCCAAGCTCGTGTGCTGTTTCATTCAGACTCTGTCGCCTCGACGGACCTGGTTTTCACCTGAGGACGGCTGCTTGCGTTGTGGCCGAAACGTCGTGAGAATTGTTTTATTATGTTTTATTTTTATTATTTTATTACTTCCCTTCTACGTGACTTTACCGAAAGAACCAAGAAGATACATCGAAACTGACGAGTAAATCATCTGGGGACTGAGATGTCTTTAATTGACGATACCAGGTGAGCTGAGTTAAGTACAGAAGAGGTGGTCTTACCAGTGAATGGCTGTAAGGTCTCAGGCAGATATTGGGCCAGTTTGTAGGTGGGTGAGTCAATGGTGGAGACGATGGGGCGGAGTGGTGTACCTTCGTTATGGATTTTTAGTGAGCCATATAATCTGCGTGGTCTAGCAGCAGAATGATTCAAAGAAAACCGTTTGGTCTGTTCAATTAATGAAGCCGAATTAGTGCTGATAATCTTCGTTGTTGTAACAAGGCTGTTGGTGGGATCTCTCTTAATTTTTGTGTAGCTACCATCATTAAGTAGGTCCTGAATTTTGTTATTGTACAGTTTTATCCATGATGAGTGGCATTGCCCTTGTTGGCTAAGAGGATGATGATATCATCCCTCTTTTTCAATTGAGATAACTCAAACTGCTCATCCTTACTGATGTTGCTGACTGGTATCTTAGCGCTTTTGAGGGTTGCAGCGATTTCAGATCTTGTCACATCTGCAGCGATGTGTCCCAAACCCTTAAGAGCTACATCGACCTGGGCAATGGTGTCATCCACTGGTATGTGTTTGGAGGTGACTGCTAAGTTGAACCCTTTAGCCTAAACCGACTTTAGACCATCGGAAATAGGGCTATTACTCAGATTGATAACAACCTTGTCAACGTCTAATTTTTTAATGTGTGGATCTGGTTTCTTCTTGGAAAGGAGGTTGAACTTGGAAATCAGGATATCTTTACATTTAGCTGACATTGTAGCGGCTGATGAAGCAGTCATGTTATCTACATGTTCCCAATCAAATGTACACATTTTTTCCGTCAATGACTAATCAGTCTGACTGGTTCGTCTCATCTACACTGTGGCAATCAACCATTGTGCAGGTCACAACTCACAAATCCACCCACTCACCACCCTGCAGGTTATTATTTCTTGCACTGTTCCATTTTTGAATTCCTTCCCATCGTCTCTCTTCCTGACCGCTTATAACTCTTTTTTCTATACAATAATCTTGTCAACATTGATCTATTCGCAACTTTGATAGTGCTTTTTGTTGCTGACCGCGTGATGTTGGGCCTGTGGTCAGCAATCGTGTTAAAATGAAATTTGCAGTAAAACGTCATTGTAAGGCGTCACAAATCCGCCCTGACCAACTGAGGCCCCACACCCAGTGCAGGTACACGGCTGAAGATGTTTACGCATCCAACCTTTCAACACACGGAGGAGTGCGCATTCATATATATGTTATAGATGTTCACATATCTGACTATACGTCAATATATGTGGAAACGTACTTATAGTATTCAAAACGCTCATTGCGATTGTTCATTCCATCTTCAAACTATTATTACATTGTCTGCCAGCCGAGTTAAATAAACTCCTGATTTTTTATTATATTCCTCTTATCTATAAGCGACCATAAGACCTCGAGTAACTGCTGCCTGTGCTCAGTTGGTCTCTTTCAGGGCGGACCCGTTCGTGTGGAGCCCCACAGATCGGCTCGAGTCGTCCGTCATCAACGTCAAGCTGACCGGAAGCATCGCCTCAGCCTTGCCTTCCGCCACGATCCGCCTGACAAATCCCTCGGCGCCGAAAACATTAACGATCAACAGCACCTGCCGAGCCAGCGTGTGCCTGCAACAACATAAGTTCAGCGTCAGCACACAAGGATCGATGATCGCTCTCACGATCCTGTCGACGACCGTTCACCAGATGCTAGAGATATTCGTCGCATTTCGACAACCAGTTTCTCTTGAGCCGCCAAACTACAGCTTCAGTTTCTCGATGAACGAGTCGCAACAGCTCAGTAAGAAGGTGGATAAAATTACACCCATGAGGTTTGTCATCCCAGGAAATTCCACTCAAGCTGGCGACTACTACATGTGCTTTAAATTTCCAGGTTTGTATCATCGATCATGCGACGGCTGTTCTTTGATAGTTCACGCTTGCTCTCTTTCTCTCCTTCATTTGTTCGCTCCCACCTGCTCGCCCACATAAATACGCGCTCTGAGATGCTTGTTACGTTATGGGGACATACAAATGTTGAGTTATTGCTGTTAACCCAACTACCAACACTATGGGCATAATCATTAACAGCAATTCAACGTGCGTGATTAAATAATGGTAATCCAATTACATAAAATAAAACCCAAAACTATTTTATGGTCTTACTGTTAAATGCATGAGATAGCTCGACACAGCCGTTATCATGTTGGGCAGCAGAGGGCAGTACATCATAACCCATTGTTCTGTACTTCTGTGCTCCCGTGTCTAAGCATCACCGTTTTAACCAATGGGCAGCAAGTACGGTCAACTTAACCCCCACAATCTTAAAGAACCAAAGAATAATAACCAAAGAATAATTAACCCCCACAGCCCGCACGGCATCAGAAGTGGATTGACAACAGGGCTGTGAAGATGCATTAAAAAATGTTAATCCTTGGGATGTTAGGCAGTCCCCCTTTAGTGTTGTACAGGTTGCTCTGCTGATGCTTATTGGCGCAGCAAGATAGACCTGCAGATAGACCTGCAAAGAGACCTGCAGCCTCAGCGAATCCTCGCTTGGAGCCTGAGTACACAAAAGGCTCTTAATATTTCGATTTAAAGCTTTCGTGACTGCAGGGATTCATCTTCTTGGTTCTTTCGGTAAAGTCACATAGAAGGGAAGTAATAAAATAATGAAAATAAAACATAATAAAATCATTCTCATCACGACGTTTCGGTCACAACGCAAGCAGCCGTCCTCAGGTGAAGAACAGGTCTGTCAGAAAGACAGCGTTTGAATGAAAACCACCAGGCTTGGCAGCGTATATTGAAGCTGGGTTGGAAGGGGAAGAGTGCCCCGACAAAGGAATTCGCATATCAAGAGGATATGCGAATTTACGTGGTGGTTTTAGTTACTGCAGCTACATACTATTAACACTCCTTCCCTTTATTAATGCTACCCCTATCCCCTCCCTTTGATGCTGCTTATCCTGCATAATGTACGGGCAAAAGTAGTACTAATCACATACCTGCATTTCCCATATCCCCTCCCTTTGATGCTGCTAATCCTGCATAATGCACGGGCATAATTAGTACTAATCACATACCTGTATTTCCCATATCCCCTCCCTTTGATGCTGCTATTCCTGCATAATGCACGGGCATAAGTGGTACTGGTCGCATACCTGCATTTCCCATGGGTATGCTAGATTCCTGTTGATATGCGAATTCCTTTGTCGGGGGGCTCTTCCCCTTCCAACCCAGCTTAAATATACGCTGCCAAGCCTGGTGGTTTTCATTCAGACGCTGTCTTTCTGACAGACCTGTTCTTCACCTGAGGACGGCTGCTTGCGTTGTGGCCGAAACGTCGTGAGAATTATTTTATTATGTTTTATTTGTATTATTTTATAGCTCTTAATATTGTCCATAAATTCGGTGGTTACGATTTTACTATTATCATAAATGTCATAGGAGAAGACGTATTGCAAGGCAAAGTCGTCGTGAGATCGTAACCCTCCCTCTGGCAAGACCCGTCGCTTGAAAAACGTCATCACTCACCGCAACAGCCCATGGGCTGCCAGAAAGACAAACCTCCCATCCCACAGGGTCACTGCGACATCCTCATTCCGTGTGTTGAGGCCGCTCCATGGCTGAGGCGAGTACATTTTAATGGTTACGTTGATAATTTTATCAATGTTATTAGTTGCTATTATTATCGACTTGAAAGATTTCTCACGACTTCATGTAAGCCCAATTTTTTGTAACATTTACTGAGTTACGCAAAATCTTGTAAACCGAACGTATGACATTTTAATGTCAATACGCATTCCCTGCTCAGGCCTTTGGATAAAGATAATTGAGCTTCATGGGAAGAGAAACTACAGATGGTGAGCAGACTAGGTAATACTTTGGACTGCTGCGAACAGAAAATGATTGCCACCCCACACCTGTGTGAGCCAGAAACCACTTTCATATATTTATGTGCAAACTGTACACGACCTCACATACATGGCGCTCCCATGCAATGTTTACAGCCGGGACAATTGATCCACTAATCTATTAAACATGATAATGGACCCATTTTCTTTCACGGAGATTACTCGGGCTGTTTGAAAAATAGTGGCAGCCCCCACATCCTGCCTTCTGAAGGCAGGAAATCCCCTACAAGCTACGGCGTGGCCGATGATATCGATGACGTCACTAAGCACCTGCCGTCACCTCCAGTCCAGGGGCACACTTTTTCTTCCCAACTGTTTTCGTGTTATCCAATTGGTCGGGTAATAGAGCGGAGAATCAATATTGTGATGAATAGTATTTTGTTGGGGTAAGATTGCATAAATACAATGTCCATAGTAAACTTTTCTCGACCGGACTAAGCAAGTTAATAGATTTGTCACATAAACAAACTTGACAACTTTACATGCTGTGAGATTACTGTCCAACAAACTGAAGTGCTGAAGCAGTAATAAATTGGCACGTTTATTCACTTGACAAATATATTACTTGGCTCTCGGGCAGAGGGGGATTCACAAAACGCGTTGCATTTATGCTATCTGGCATATACAAATAATGTATGAATCGGTAAACCAACCACTTAAATAGATGGATAGCCCAGCTGGAGCTTCATGTTTCATTGCCATGAAATAAACATTTCTACCACCATTGGCTCATGGACCTATATCTTATTTGGCCGATGAATGAAAATCTAATTTTTTGTCATTGCAATGAACATCGGACCCTCGTTTGTTTTTTCCTGCTATATATTTATTTTTAGCTATGTAAGTGTTACCCAATGAGTTGTATAATCGAACCAAATAATTTGTAGTCTTTTACTTTAATTATCCGATAGCTCAACTCTAGTGATGTTGCAACGGAGAAGCGCCATGTTTTACAGAGCATACTCGAAGGTCTGCTGACCATCCCCAAAAGCAGGACTGGTGCTGGCTGAGCTTCAATATGAAGCATTCACACTCCCTCTACTTACAGCAGTCAGCTGAAGGCTCCCTCTATCTACAGTAGTCATCTGGGGCTCCCTCTACCTACGGCAGTTATCTGAAGGCTCCCTCTTGCTACAGGAGTCAGCTGAAGACTCCCTTTAACTACAGTAGTCAGCGGAAGGCTTCCTGATACCTACAGCAGTCAGCTGAAAGTTCCGCACTTCTTTTTCAGGCCGGTGCATGAAAAACTGGGAGCCAGTGCTTTGCGCCTCCAAGTTTGCGATGCAACAACGACTTTGTCTGTTTCACAGAATTTATGGATTTTTATTTTTGCTATACAGGCTCAAACGTAACCATGGTCACAGTGATGACTCTAACTGTGACCCGCTGCGAAATGAAAAACGACATAGGCGGCTCGTGGGATCACCACTCGCTGGAGGTGAGCCCACGGTCACCCGTGTCCGTAGTTTTGTCGGCTCTCGCCATTTCATCGAACTCCATTACTGTGTCCCACGCACCCGGAATTCTGTCACTATACAAATGTCCCCGGTTACTCATCCGTCCACAAATCACACTTTTATAATAAATAGTCAATTATATACGATAATTTACTTTTCAATTTACATGTACTGTTTTCTGTTTCCATATTCGTGTAATAACCACCCTAAATCTGTTTAATGCGTTTGTAGCTTAATTTTACTAAATATCGGTTTTAATATAATTTGTTCTAGCCAAATTTACAATGCTGTTCAGGGAACTAATTATATAGGCACGCCACATCCATCTCACCTTGTTTTGTCATATTGATGTGATATGTTCAACGGTGTATGGTAAAATCGGCACGCCGCTCGCTGTGTTGCCAGACACATGACAGCTCCACCGAAAATTTCATCACGTGCGTGGTGGACTTGGCGTCTCAGAACTTGCGCTCTGCGAGTGGAGGAATCGCCATGTTCATTGGGGCGCAGGTGTATGTCCCCCCCAACGTCATCCACTTCGACACGGTCTTCTCCAAATTCGACCTTGTGGGAAACGGAGCCGTGTTTGGGACGATGCTCGCGATACTGGCCGCGTACGCCCTCGCCATACTTCTGACTCGCAGGGCGGACAGGAGAGACGCCCTTAAGGTCTGGGCACACCCCTGCACAACAACAATAAGAGCAACGCAGGCGAGATTGTGATTACACTTTTAAACTATTGTTGGGGCGGTGACACACAGCACAGCATCAATGCATTTTCCGCTTGTTGTGGAGGTTCGCTGCCTTGATCACAGTGCACATTAAAGATTCCGTTAATGTTATATGGCAAAAGAGTAGGCCATAGATAGAAGTGATAACCTCCTCCTGCAAACACTTGGCAGGACCCTCCCTAAAAAAGGGTCATGAGAATTAGTAAAGCTTTGATGCGTAAACAAGCGTAACAATACCAGTAAGTGCAACAAGTCATGTTTAACGAATGGTACACAGAAGGAGTCCATATCACAGAGCTATTGTCAAAGCCAAAATATTTGCAATGTGGGCAGAAAATTATGATTTTCACAAATGCTTCATGGGGGGTATCAGGACAGCCTTTTTAAAATGGGGAATGTCACCGTGTGTCTTATCACTTGCAGTGGATGGTGCTCCCTATCTCCGACAACAGCAGCAGCTACAGTTACACGTACCTCATGTCGGTGACGACCGGAATGAAATGGGATGGAGGGACCAAGTCCAAAGTGTTTTTCACAATCTACTTTGAAGGAGACAACACTGGCATACGTATGATGCAGAATGGTGTATATGATGTACGGACACTGTCGTTCTATTTGCAATAGATTGCGTATTTAATTTTATTTGTATATGTTAGTGTCGAGAAACGATATGGCCTGTGGCTGCATCTGCAGCACGAAAGCTATCGCTGCTTGGGCATGTATTTGATTCTATTTTACGTATTAAATTTTAGCATTTGCTTACCTTTCCTATACTTGGCACTCCTATCGTTTTTGTATTGTTGTTGGAACTTTCTGACTCGCCCCAACTGGACCTCTGGGGAAATAAACTTCATAGCTGATCGGATTTCTCCAGGATAAATATAGATTCTGACTTTGACTTTAATAGCTTTAAATCAATATGGAAGTGCACCTTTTCCAGCCCCACCCCTTCCTATTTAGGCCCCACTCCTTCTTTTGTAGGCCCCACCTCTTACTTATAAGGCCCCACCCCTTCATTAGGCCCTTCTCCTTTGTGATTAGGCCGCATCTCTTTCGGCTCTGTGCCTTTCCTTTTTAAGACCCACCCATTTTTTTAGGCCACACCTTTTTCTGTTTAAACTGCACCCCTTTTTGCTCTGGACACACACTGTGTTGGGTTGGCTGAGGCAAGGGTGGGCAGGCTCAGTAGAGGTAGGGGTTGAGCAGTTTTTACAACTACGACCAAAATCCCTTAGAGCAGCAATATAACAGGTGAATGTTGTGCTGCTCACTTTGTCTCTTGGGCCTTGCCACTGAGGCCACGCATTCAGGGCGTCCATCACTGTGCTCCTTTTGTTTCTCAAGTTTAAAAACAGAATAATTGCCAAACATGTAGCAACACAGCAATAGCGGCACAATAATAATTAATGCTCTTTCAATAAATAAAGAAATGGTATAATACAACTTATTGAAGATACTAAGAGGAGTGGAAGAATGTATCCATGCTGTCCCAAGCATACATTAAATACATTAAACATAACACATACTGTACTTTAATGTCACATATATTATCACCTACACTCAAGCATTGAAACACTCTTGCACTAGAAAGCATATGCATTAACTATTTCTTACGCATTAAACACACATTAATACCTACCTCCTTACATTCAACCAGACTTAACATGTACTGTATGTACACATATACACTTGTACATTTCTTACAAAACACGTTATTCACACAGAGGCATGGATTTCTCCATATAGCCTATACAGGCTGTTGGAGTGAGTGCTGCCAGCGTGTGCTTATGTAGTGTCATTGATGATGGCACTATAGTAGCGATAATACAGTGTGAGTGGTACTATATGTGCGTAGCATCTCCCTGGCACCTGAGTGAGCATACCAGAGAAGGGGCTGAGTAAACACGAGGGGGCAAGTGACCGGATGAGGTGGTAACGAGGACCAGGGAGAGGATGAGAGGAACACCTGATGTGGGTCCTGAACTGTCGCGAAGGATCGGGAAAAGAGGTGTGGCCAAGGGCGGGGCCTGGCCACGCCGCAGGGATAAAAGCCGAGCCCCGGGGGAGACCGGGGTTGGTCCTGGCTGAGAATAAACCTCCGTCGTCATGGTCCTCGGGCTCCAGGCTTTGCGCACGTGGACCAGGCAGCGCATTGGCTGTCCTGGTCCGGTTTAATAGTAGTCCTATCCAGAGTGTATTATAGCCATCTCCCCCAAGTGCATATAGCTAGTACAGGAACGGTGGGTTATCACCTTATGTCGTTACCCCGTTAGTATTAGGAGTTAATATAATGTTAGTTAATAAAATGTGCTGCCTCCAAGTTCAAGTGTGCACCTCGATTGAACCCATTTAAACTGGTGTTAGAAGTGGTTATATTTTCTAACAAATTAGCCCTAAATTAGGTGATATGTTCACGCGTCTGAAAAACTCACAAAGACAGCTTCAGACGACGACGATGACGACGAGGGGACTCCACCACAGACAGCCCCGGGGATGGCAACCCCGGAGAGAGGGGGAGAGGTGGTGCTACCTGCGGAGCAGCGGGACGACCACCACGTCGCCGCTTCACCGCCACCAAGGAGACAGCTCTCCGCGCTTGCCTCGCTGAACTGCTGGAAGCGGTGGCTTCACTTGTCGCCGAGCTCGACCGAGAGGAGCCGGCGATGGAGGTTGCAGCCCCAGGGTCGCGGGATTTGGAAGCAGAAGCGCGCTGGAAACTTCCCCCATGCACAGCGCGCTCGCGGCCGCCGTTTTGGCAGTCGCGTGGCAAGAGGAGCCTGCATAAATTTTACTTCCTGCCAAAACCGCCAATAGAGATCCTATCATCCAAACACCGGCTCCCATTCGTGAAGGAGTGCACAGCTGCAGGAGGAAATTGGGAGCAATTTCGGCGGTGCTCCACTGCAAACTGTGAGTTGGCGGGCTGGACGGAGGAAGAGGCGCTGAGAACGCTCCCCACCATCTTGGATGACGACGCCTTGGCGGACTTTTATGCCATCCCGCCAGCTGAGAGGGCCATGTTGTTGCTGGCCTTTGCACAGATGGCGGCGATCTACGATCTTCCATCGAATGTCCGTCACAAGTTCGCTACGCGAAGGCAAGGGGAGGCCAAGATGCCTCTTGCCTTCCGCAGCGCACTGTTGTTGCTGGTACAAGCAGATTTTCTCAAGATGGAACAAGCTGGCTTGGACTCGTTGGTATTGGAATGTATGCTGGCCTTAGTGAAAGAATTTAACGTCGTCCTGCCAGCAACGGAAGACGACAATATATCGTCTCTCAAGATTACTCGGTGCATTCAAGCGCATTTCAATTTGAAACGGCGTACGCAAGTGGTAGCGTGCCCCGCACCCTGAGGTGTTCAGTGCAACTGAAGATGGTGATCCCGCTCAAGCCTGTGCTTCGGTCGATGATGGCGGTTGGCGGAGAGGCGCCTCGGAGTGGCGGGGAGGAGCGGCTCCATCCTCTGAAATAATTTCGGCCTGCCGGGACACATCTCGACAGGGCCGTCACTGTCATCTCCGTGGACATCCCCAGCTCTGCATGGTCCTAAGGTGAGTCGCGGCACACCACGCACTCGGCCCTGACAACTATCTCACTCATCCCGCTCGGTTGTCGGTTCACGCTTGCTCGTTGCACGCTCTCGTCGGGATGCGGAGCGGGAGAGTTCAGTTTTTCCGGGAGAATTCCTTGTTTGTGCAAACTTACATGGCGATTAAAACCGTTTCTGATTCTGATTCTGAGATGGCTGGCCACGCCGTTCTGGTCAGTGGTCGGAGTTGGCTCACCATGTGGTCGCCGCGGCAGCGAGATTGTCGGCCGTTATTAGAAAAGTACAGGGGGTAGAGGTACTTGTGCTGATCGACACCACAGCATCCGCTACCATTATTTCAGAATTTATTTTTAGCATGACTCGGAACCTTCGTCCAGTCACAGCTCCATGCTTTGCAATGAACGGCAGCTCCCTCGGAAATATTGGTCAAATAACGGCAATGGTGTGCATCGGTGACATTCAATTGACGGGGTCGGTCTTAGTTTCGACATCCCTTGATGTACCGTGTTTGTTGGGCACCGACTTCTTGGGGAAAATGCCCCTTAAAGTTTTAGTGGATCAAGGATGCATTGAATTTCCATTGGGATGCCACATGGCCTTTTTGTCTTCGCACACTCAATTGCGCTCGGTTAATGCCACGGATCGGGCGCTAGCGACAAAGACTGTCACCATTCTCAAATGTTGATTCACTTGCGGCTGTGGAACCAACTTGATAAATCAGCGACTGCCAAAGAGATCCTGCTCACACCTTCTAATAAAGCGGCTCGGGGTCTAGCGCTCGTGCGTGCACAAACACTGTGAACCCTTCATTCACAGAGAGTCGGTCAACACACAATTAGCGCATAGCCTGGTTGATTATGTTCTTCCAAAGATTGCTAAATTAGAAGTTAAGTGTGACATTTTGAGATAGACAAGACAGACACAAAGACAGACACACAAGCAGAGAGAGACAACACAGAGACACACAGAGAGAGAAACCAAACTGCAGGATATATTCGAGAGACAACACAGAGACATACACGAAAGCTCCAAATCAAGTGTGAACCACCTCTACGGGGAAGTTTTAAGTTTGTTTTCTCTCTGTGTCTCTGTGTTGTCTCTTTCTACTTGTGTGTCTGTCTTTGTGTCTCCATGTCTGTGTCTTGTCTCTCAAATTTCACACTTGACTTCTAATTTAGCGATCTTTGGAAGAACGGAATCGACCAGACTATGCGTTAATTATGTGTTGACCGACTCTCTGTGTTGCATTGCATTACATTTTCAAATTTTACTAAGTTTGTTTTTATTAAGTGTGTTTTCTCACTCTCTCGCTGTGTCTCTGTGTTGTCTCTCCAGTATTTCCTGCAGTTTGGTGTATCTCTCTGTGTGTCTCTGTGTTGTCTATCTCTGCTTGTGTGTCTGTCTTTGCGTCTTTGTGTCTTGTTTCTCTCTCAAAATCTCACACTTAACTTCTAATTTAGCAATTTTTGGAAGAACGTAATCAACCAGGCTATGCGTTAATTGCGTGTTGACTGACTCTCTGTGTTGCATTGCATTTACAAATTTTACTAAATTTGTTTGATTTAGCGTGTTTTCTCTCTCTCTCCCCGTCTTGTTGCTCTTATTTCCTGCAGTCACAAAAGCTCAACATCTCTCATTGACATGCTAATTTAACTATCCCCCCTCTCTCTCTCTGCACCCCTCTCTCTATTTAAAGCGTCAACACAAAGGCGTTGTTTATCTGTGTGCCTATGTGTGTGTATCTCTCTCTGTATCTCTGTGTTATCTCTCTCTGCGTATGTGTCTGTCTGTGTCTCTGGTTCTGTGTTTCGTGTCTCTCTCAAATTTAGCAATCTTTGTAAGAACATAATCAACCAGGTAGGGTGTTGAATGTTATGTTAGCCGACTCTCTGTGTTGTATTATATTTCTAAGTTTACTAAGTTTGTTTTCTCTTTCATTTGTACCTGATGATTTATTGTCTTGCAATCGAAACGTCGTATGCAATTATTTAATTTATTATTTTCTCTTTCTACGTGACTTTTGCCGAAATAACCAAAGAGTAAC